AGGAAAAGCTCTAACAAGTAGGCTGGTCCTAGCTGGACAAACAATGGGAAGCTTGGCAGACAGTGCTCTCAATAGCAAGCAATACAGTTTTAGTTGGTTAAACTGTTAAACTGCACCAATACCTATGAGACATTCTGTGTCCCCAAGCCTTGGCTTTTGTATACCTGCGCCTAATACTTTCTGGATTTAGGTAAGCAGGGTGGGTCCATCCGGAGAGAGAGTGCAGATTTCAGACACATGGAAATGTGGAAATCTCAGTCTGGTTTGGCTACCCTTTAGCTTGGTGATGAGTTTACTAGAGTGGGGACACTCTCCCCACTCTTTTGCTCAGTATCCATCTCCGAAGACGTTCTGATACATGATGGGTACTATGAGAATGCAAGTTTTTGTTCCCAAGCGTCTATTCTATAAGCTAGTTAAAGTAGTAAACAGTGAGGAGGATAGTAGCAGACTTCAAGAGGACATTGACAAACTGGTAAAATGGGCAGACAAGTGGCAGATGAAGTTTAATGGGAGAAATGCAAAGTGATGCATTTTGTGAAGAAGAATGAGGAGAGGCAATATAAGCTGATGGGACAATCTTAAAGGGGGTGAAGGAATAGAGAGATCTGGGGGTTCATATAAGTAAATCTTTGAAGATGGCAGGACAGGTAGATGAAGCTGTTAAAAAAGCATCCGGGATCCTAGGCTTTATAAACGAGGCTTAGAATACAAAAGTCAGGAAGTAATGATGAACCTTTATAAAACACTGGTTAGGCTTCAGCTAAAGTACTGTGTTCACTTCTGGGCACCACACTTTAGGAAGGATGTCAAGGCATTCATTGGAGAGGGTGCACAGGAGATTCACCAGGATGGTACCAGGGATGAGGGACTTCAGTTATGAGGAGAGGCTAGAGAAGGTAGGATTACTCTCCTTGGAGCAGAGAAGGTTAAGAGGAGACTTAATAGAAGTTTTCAAAATTATGAGGGGATTCGATAGGGTGAACAAGGAGAAACTGTTCCACCAGTGGGTGGGTCAGTAATCTGAGGCCACCGATTTATAATAGTTATTAAAAGAAACAGAGGGGAGGTGAGGAGAAATTTTTTCCACAGCGAGTTGTTCGGATCTGGAATGCGTTGCCTGAAAGCGTGGTGGAAGCCGATTTAATAACAACTTTTAAGAGAGAAATAGATAATTATTTGGGAAGGACACATTTGCAGGGCTATGGGGAGAGAGCGAGGGAGTGGGCTTGAGTTGGATAACTCTTTTCAAAGAGCCGGCACAGATACAATGGGCCGAATGGCCTCCTTCTATGCTGTATAATTCTATGATAAACATCACAACAATTTTGAATCTACGACCTCCTGGGATTGTTAATTCTACGTACTCGTAGTAGAATTTTCATACATTCTACATACAATGTGAACAAATATTTCCGGATTTCACTTTAACTTTAAGATTATGTCCTCTTGTTTTGGATTCACCTCTCAGACTCATACCTTCATTGTGTTAAACAGCTCAGTCAGATCACCACTTAAGGAACAAGGAACAATAAGAATTTTTTAAACAATGGATTTATAGGATAAAAGAAAGAAGGGTTATTTGTGCTGAACAATGGAGAAGAGAGCAGAGTAATTACTTAACAGGAAGCACTTATAAGCTGAGTGCCAGAGCAGTAAGGAGATAACAATGATTTGAAAAACAGGAAATAGAGAGATGCTTGAAAAGGAAAATTATTAAAAGAGAATGGAAATTGAGCAGGAGAGTAGGATTCAATCAATTGATGTGGAAAAAACCCTCCAGAGCAGACTTGATGGACTGAATGGCCTATTTATGTGCTTCAGATCTGAGTGTCAGGAAGTCAAACTACAATCCAGCAATTGTCAATGTCTGGATAGCAGAATGGCTTTCTCTTTCATTTCCTTCTTTATAATGCTTGAAATTGGAATAGGGTAGCATCATAACACGTCAAAATGTCTCAAAGCATTTCACAGGATTTTTTGTACAGTGTAAAAATTGTATTTTTGTAGGTGAACAAAGCAGCCAATGTCCCACAAACAGCGATGAAGTGAAAATACACTTTTTCTGGGGATTGCTGGCCAGGCACGTGGAGAAACTCCCTTCTTTTTCTCAATTAGTTCCACGGGATCTGTAACACCCACCCTGACAGACGAGACGGGGGTCTCAGTTAAACATGTCATTTGAAGGACAGCACCCTGACAATGCAGTGGAGACCCCAACATTGCATTGGAGTGCCAACCTAGACTTTTCCACACAGAGGAGAGAATATTACCAACTGAGCCAGGCTGATGATATCTGTGTTCTTAAGTTTTTGAGTTGTGAATTGGTTGTGTGCATTACCAAGTGATTTGAAATATGTTTCAAGTTCATTGCTTTGCATCCATGGATTCAGTTTGGCTGCAGAATAACGCATATTTATCTGTACATACATTTCTGATGTATTGGTTTGATGCATTTTGTAAACGTCTGCAAAAATCTGAAAGCATTAATGTACAACATAAGGTTTGTAATCTGAATCTATCCTTCTCAATTGTTTAATTCAACTGATACAATGTTTCAATTATTGAGAAGGGATGACTCAACTATGGGTTCCAAAAAGAATACTAAAATCAAACTGTTTAAGATGAAAAGTCATTTTTTTTATATTGGAAGTTACAAGTCATAAAATTAATCTTGTTCTTTAATAGCATGACCTAAGGTTATCCTTAATACTGCATAATAAGAACAATAATTTAATAGACAAATGTAAAATGAGAGGTCCTTTTCTGATTCTTGTATTTTACGTGGAGGTTTTAACAGATCCTCCATATGTTTGCCCCTGAGCATACCAAGGATACATTTCATTCCCCTAGCCCAAATAAATTGGGCACCACTGCAATAAAACTGAGACAAGATCTAAATGACATTGCATTCTTTTGTGCCTCTGCTGTTATCACTTCCACATGTTTGTCACTGACATTTTCAATAAATTCCCATTCATTTCTAATCTGATGCGATATGTTTTGTCAATTCTGCTTACTATCAATTTTCTACGCTGTAAGACGGATAGGCAGCGGGCAAAAATATTCTTTTGTGGTGGGGGGAGGGGTATCAGTAAAACTCAGCTAAAGGGTTGGTCCCTTTAAAACTGGTGCAGCCAACAGGTGCCAGTGTCGAAGATAGCCAGCTCCCTCCTCCTCACCACACAAGCTCTATGCCAGCTTCAAACACGGGGACCCTGCTCTTCTCACTGCGCAAACTCCAAGGTCCATTGGTCAATCCGAGGCAAGGACACCCCAACGAGCAGCTGCAGGTCCTGAAGTGGGCAGGCATTGACAACCATTTGGAAGATGGACACGAGGGGGCCTGACAGTGCTGCGGGTTCAGGCTGCCTCGGAGGACTGGCTGTTGTCCTCCCAGAGGTCAGGGCTATCCGCTCCCAGCTCCCCTTAAAGAGATAGATGAGCTCATTTGCTCATTTCGTTCAGTTGGCAACACTCTGTGCGTGAGCACCAGTAGGTCTTTGTGCTCAAGCATTTTGCAAGGATTTTAGCCCATTGTCTAGATTTAAGCTCCAGGAGTTGCATGTTGCATTACGTAGGACACTGACTTTTTAATTAGATGTTAAACCGAGATCTCATCTACCTCTTAAATTAGATTTTTTTAAACTGGGTGTCTGACACATGTGGAAACCCACAGGCTTGAGAGCATCCAAACCAAACTGAGAATTCCATGTATCCCACCTACTCATTGAAATCCCAGAGATAGATTGTTGGAATGGAATGCGCACTCTCTCCCTGGAGGGACACATCCTGTTTACATAATTCCAAAAAGTATTAGGTGTGGGTTGGCAAGAGCCCAGACTTGGGGATCCCAGAGAACGACTGGAGTCTAACCAGCTATAAACGCATAGCTTGCTATTGGTAGCAATGTCTGGCAAGCTTCCCTACTGCTTGTCCAGCTAGGACCACCCTACCCTTTAGGGCTTTGACTTGCAGGGTTAATGGGAGCTGAGGGGGATTACTCCCTGCCCCCAGTGACTGGTCGGCCCTTCCAGGATCTGCCAATGAGGCAGTCTGGAAGTGCTGCCATCAGCGGTGCCCTGGAATACTGTGGAGCCGTCTGGCTCAAGAACCAAATAATCGAGACTACCACAGAGGGTTGAATCGATTGTGATATTCCATTGTCTGCTTTATCAGCCAAAATCACCAAAACAATTAGTTTGGCTATTTATCTTATTGCTGCTTAAGTGGAATTTGTGTGTCAAAAATTACCTGTACATTCAGAACCTGTACAGAACAATCCTTGTTCTTCAGTTGAACATAATGTGTGAGCATTTTGAGACATTTCACTGTGTTAAGGCTTCAAGTGCTCGTTCGTTTTGAGCCACCCAAAACAGTCAGTGATATCAAAGCTGCCACAAACATTCAGTAACGTATAAAAAGAAACTGGCCAAGTTACTTTAGAATGCTGTATGTAATTGGAAGATTTCTCTCACAAAAACCTGTTTGAGATATCAGGAGGAATGCAAGTCAAACCTTTTTTGTTGGCCAGCGAGGCATCTAGTACATGCGGTAAGCTGTCACCGTGCTCTCACCAATCATCAATCCCATTCTCCTCTACATATGGAGGACACAGATATATTCTTTGAAGTGAAAACAAGGCAAACACCAATTTCAGACAATTTTCCCCTTGTTCGTGCCAGTCTCTTGCATATAAATCCCACCAGCATTTCTTCTTCTTCTTATTATTATTATTAAGCGTAATTATTATTACGCCTAATAATAATCCCTCCAAAACCAAAAACAATAATAAATTGGTCATTTTCAATCTACGGCTGTTTGTGGGACATTGCTGTGCGAAATTGGCTGCCGCGTTCGCCCACAAATATACAGTCAATTCACTTTACAGTGTGTTCTGTGAAGCGCTTTGGGACGTCCTCCCGACGTGAAAAGCGCTATATCAAATGCAAGGATTATTATTATTATTATTCATGAGACAAAGGCATTTATTTACAAAGTTTTTTTTATTATTTCTGATGATCACATACTCTTTTTTTTGTTGAAGAAACAAATTATTTACATGGAGCTAAAGTACAAAAATATAACACAATATTTTACAATATCAGGCTGCGCTGAAATATACTGCAGATACATTACATCACACACAGGTAAGCATCACACTTAACGGGCAGAACATTTGCCATTTTCCAGCAAAAGATTTCAGATGGCCCCAGAAGCATAAATCTTTAGTTAGCTCTAGTGGTATTTGCTTGAGGAGAAGGAAAGGCCGAGAGTCATCTCAAAGTCACCTTTTACTAGAATACAAACGTACTCATGAGTTTATCCAATTCCTTTCCCACACTGTTTCTTGTATCCTCACTGCTGCCACCACCCATTGTCCTTTCCTCCTTCAGGGGGAGTGAGAAAGTCTGGCCGCCCTGTGATCAACAGTAGGGGCTGAATATCGGCAAAGCAAGGTCACACCAGAGTTTATTCTCTTCACCCAGATGATGCCACATCCAAAGAATTCGCCCACAAAATACACAGTCAATTCACTTCACAGTGCATTCTGTGAAGCGTTTTGAGACATCTCGAGGACGTGATAGGGCGCAATATCAAATGCAAGGATTATTATAGTTCTTATCCATCATCCATAGCCAAGATAGCAAAATAACAGCTCCACTCAGGAGGAATTTAATTCAAACTCTGCTTTCCACATGGATCCCCTTAATGAAGTGCTCACTTCTGGAGCTGCCCACAGAAACCTATCAACACTTTTGAAATCTAATCTTTTCAATGGAGTTTTTATATTGACACACTACATCTAAACAAAACATACCACACCAGCTCATAAAATTCCTTTTATTGTTTCTGCTCAAATAATTTCCCTTCAACTCTATCTAGAGCCTCTATATCAGTCTGAATAAACGGCGATCACTTCTGCATTTGACAAGCAGTTCTCCAAATGAAGAATACAAAATCGGAGAGGTGGATATCACGAAGATGGGTGATGGTAATTATTTTTAAAAATACGCAATTTGCAACGACACATTAACTTTTTCTATGATGGCCAGGAAAGCGATTTAGAATTGTGTGCTGGAAATGTGAGTGGTTGCACTCCCTGTTAGAAACCATTCTCAATGAAGGAATCACCAGAGTGTAGTATTCTGCTGTGCTTGCCTTACCCATGCAAACTAAAATCTATTGATCTTTACTCAAAAAACGTTAACTTCGGTCCACCAGTTTCAAAAAACAAACTATAAAAAACAGAAGCAGTTGTGTTGTAAACCTTTCCCCACATGGACAGTTGGAATCTCCTGTGGATGTAAACTTGGGCAGACAATGGCAGTGTGTTAGTGGATAATTGCTCGTAGGAAAAATGTCTGAGAAAAAACAAAAGCAGCAAACAAGCAATGTGTAAATTTAGCGATTAGTGGGAGCATGAAATGATCTGAATATTGGTTGTCACTGCCCACATATACAAACAATCAGAGCAAGAAGGTTGAATAGAATAAAGACTGCATTAGTTACTTAATCCAAGTTGCAGTTTTACTTATTCTAGAGCCAAATAGATTAAAGAGCTACTTGGAAACTGGTCAGTACACAGCCATTTGCAAAAGCAGCTGTCCTCTTATGTGATTAACCAACACATCATCTAAAGTCTAAAATGTTATAGCATTAAAAACATCAAATATATAATAATATCCAGATTACTGATGCAGCATTGTGTCAGAATGAGCACCAAAGAAATGCCTTCAGAATTTTCCATGTGACACACACAATTGCGCATGTGTAGGGCTAACTTAATTTAGCATCTTGTCATTCTACAAAGCTTTCTTGAGCTACAGCTGCATCAGGCAGCTATTTTGCATCTAGCAAGGCCTCTCAAAAAATGTCAGCAAAGAACAATGACAGTGATTTGAATTCATCAGAGATTATCTATTGGGGCTGACTCAACACATATATAGAATCTAAGACCTCCTGGAGCCTCACATTTGTACTGGTTGACTTGCTAAGGGCTCCTACCACTTCTTTGAAGATTAAGAAAAGATGTCTAGAGCAAATGGCAAAGAGGAAGCCATTTTAATTCAAACAGCACGATATCGACATTTTAAAATGACAATTACAATGAATTTAAAAATGATACTTCCTCATCAATTTATCTGTTTGTATGTTCATTGACGTCCCAAACAAATTACAACTCTCTCTCCAACATTAGTCTTCATAGGTAAAACTCAGCTTGCTCCTAAAGTGTATAACCAGAGTCATTCTGAAACAATCAATTGATGTAAGAAAGCATTACACTGAAGAAATTACAGCCTGAAGTTTCTTGTTAAGGAATATACTATTCGCTGTTGGAAAGTCCAGTGATACATGGGAACTGTTTCCCCCAAACAACTGAAGATAACAAATTTCTGTTTGCTTGAAAATGTACCCTGGAAATGACTCCCATTGACTTACATTTCATTTTTGCTCAGTTGTGTGACATTCTGTTTTTTTTTAAAAAAGTACCGTTTTCTCTAACACTAGAAAAATTCTCCAGTAACTAATCACTCTTTCCACTCCTCAGCTGATCTATATAACCCCCTTTGCATCAAATCAACAAGCTGACTTTCACCCATTCAAACTATAGCAAAGTCATCTATTATTGCACTCATAAATAAACAAATGCACCATGTATGCTTTTATGTTTGATACAATACTATGAAATTGTTAAAGACAAAAATCCCTTTAGGTTAATTGAATTCATTGTTAGCTGTACTGTTAGACATTTGGCATAATACTGAATACTTGTATAATGTAACAGTACAACACTCTCAGTCTGACATAGATGTGTTGGTAGCCCTATAAAACTCAACAATCACACAGAAAATGACTGTATCTACCGCATTATATCACATCTAGAAGATTGGTCATGAGAATCCATCTGAATCTGTAACTAACAACAGAAGTGCAAGGCAGATGCACACACAAGGCAGGAATAGGATAAGTGATTAGTCTATGTCCAGCAGAAGCTGCAGGTATTTACAACAGATGGGCTCTGCATAAAAGCCGTATTTGTTTCCTAACACAATTATTAATGCTGTCAACAGGAGATCAATTAAATTTCTTATTAAACTATATGTACTCAGTTAGCCATCTGCTACTCATATATTCAGTCGGTTATTTACAGAAGTTTGTATGTTTTCTCACTGAAAACATTTTCATGATTGTCTGATTCAAAGCACTAAATTGGAACTGATCAATAACTATGCAAACAGACATCAGGGAACACTTTAACAAAGCAGCAGCACAGGTGTTTAAAGGTCCACTTTCTGACTAACGTGGAAACAGTGCAACTGAATAGACACTTTGATCCATAAGCTGCATCTGGCAGACTCTTTGGAATGGCATGATTTGGGCAACAGTCAATGCAACTGGACATTCCTAACTTCATGCAGTCGAAGGTGCAGCAGCCTCTTGGGAACATCATAGAAACTCGGCTTGCTGCTTTTTGCTAATAACAATTTGCTTCTCAATACTGTCCCAATTATTTTTGTGTTCCACTTTGTAGATGCTTGCATCTCTAGAATCATAATCATAGAGTATTATACAGTAAAAGCTTTGTTTCAGATAAATTGCAAAAGTACAAGCACATGGAATTCAATAATGTTCATCTTATGTCCACAGGCACTGTTCTTCCTTTAGGCGTTGTATGAGTTTGTTCACTTTAATAGAAGGAAAACGACCCTCAACTCTGTCACAGCAGGTCACAACGACTGGAATTCAGCTTCAGGCCTTTAGTTTTGTCATAGAGGTTATACTGTAGATGGGAGAAAGGCAGTAATGGAAGTCTGTTCAAATCAGTGCAGTGTTCACCTCCATTCCAGACTTGAAAGAGGTCTAAATGTTTATGGAGAACCTTTAGCGAGTAAACTAACCAGTCTTCAGGGACCAACCACACTAATAGTCATCATATGTATTTAGGTCTGTGAAGTAGGTGTTGGAAAAAGACTTTGCATGAAGATGTGGGTTAAAGTATTTATTTCGTTCTTCAAGGATCAAGTTGTTTTTGTTGAAAGCCTAAAAAAGAGAGAGATTGTTCATTATTACTACCTTATTCTTGTAGTCTGTGGTAGTTTTAAATCCTTCTGAAACAATTGCAGTATTATAACTAGAAGTCAAGGTGGTCGTACAAAGGTAAGTCTGTAGTATTCTCCAATGTTTGAGATTTTGTGATCAGTCCTCCCTCAGACCCACACAGTACCCTCTCCCCACTAATTGTGATCCAGTCACATTCTTGAGGAGGAACTTGTAGTAAAGAACAAGACTGACTGTCGTACTTCCAAATGAATGAGGCCTCAACTGATTGCTTTGCGCTCTGGTACGCTACCCCGCATGGTGGGCAGGCGCTATATAAATGCAAGTTCTTGTTGTTGTTGTTTGCTTTTCAAAAGAACACAAAAGGGTGAAAAAATGCAGAATGTTACGTGATCAGCATATCACCGAAACGTGGGATCCAAACCGTTATTGACAGGTTTGGGAATGAACATCCGCCTGACCTCCACACAATGGTTTGGCCAAAGTCAGCCTTAGCCTTATTGTAGTCGCCCGTAATCGTTGCTTTTCAGTCCCTGCGTGGAATACAGGGATAACTCAATCAGAGCTTTTCATTCCACGGTTTTAAAGAACCAATTTGAGCAGAGCTACATTAAGTCTCATTAAATTTGACAACTCTTGGTGCTGATTTCACGCCTGCAAAAATGATTGGGAACAGTCTAACCCAATCCCACCAGGGACTCCAAAAGAGCCAATGACGATTTTTGATGTATTCATCCACCCACACTACTAAACATTCTTCTTTTTGTTGTGCGAATAGTAGCATACTTTAATACTAAAGCATCGTCATGAACTCTTGACTTCCCCATTCCTTTAAACTTTAATTCCCTTTGCTTGGTCATGTGCCAGATGGCAGCGCAATAGACGGCAGAAGTTATAAAAAGAAAACGGCAGATGCTGGAAATGTGAAACAAACAAAGAAATGCTGAAAATCCACAGCCGGTCATTCAGCATATGAAAGAGAAGTACAGTCAATATTTCAGGCATGATCCTTCATTGGAAGATGGCAAGAAATAAAGGATGTCCATATCCATGTTGAATGGTCTCACCTTAATGGCTTCCACAGAATCAAATTTATCCAGCTTGTTGACGTGGTTTGTGATGCTGGTATTGAGAGGAACTGCTGAAATTGGGTGGATTACAGTGGCTTCATGGGACTGACGTTGATATCGTTGGCAGTAAGTATACACAAGCAGTGTCAGGAGACAGCCCAGGATTGAGCAACTCAATCCTACAGCAATCATATGGAACATGTTGAACTCTGGAAAGAATTTCAGAAATGTATGTGAAATGAGCATTCATTATCGAAACAGAACAATTCCCGGCTGAGAGGCGTCTTTAATTGTAAGTTTAGGAAATCAATACTTACCACCACATCTTCTCTCTCCTGAGCTCGACTGGGCTACGGAGATTTCTAAAAGGAGCAAAAAAAACTATTAATTTTTGAAATTATGTTCATGTTAAAAATGTATCATTTCATAATTTGAAAATGTAAAGCTATGGGCATGAGATCAGAATTGAAAGAAGTACATTTTGTTTATTGCTTTCCATATAATTTGCAGATTATATTGTTCTTTAGACAATAAATACCGTCTCCAATGTGGGAGCCATGACAGAATGTGAAACGCATTTGTAAATAACAAATACTGCAGATGTCTCTCATACTGAGCTGCACTTGGGAACTCTACGCCAATGCAATCTCCCTACAGACACATCAGAACAGAGTTCCTGCAGTTCAGAGTGACGCACATATTTGGTAACCTTTTCAAATCCTTTTGTAACTGTCACATTTTGGATCTCAATAATGTTTTCTTCTAAAACCACTGCATGTTTGGTAATAGGGGGCAGGAGGGTGTAGGGGATTATGTCCCAATTTACTTTCCTTTCCACCCCCTTTCTATGTGGCCATGTCAGTGAGTGTTGGCAATCTATTAGACCCTGGGTTATCACAGCTACATCCAACCTGCCTTCACCAAATATCCACATATTTTTCACGTAACCAGATAGTGATCAGGGGTTGGAATTCCCTCCTGTGATTCACCCCATCCCATCTCCCACCTAACCTGGGGTGTTAGGGACAAGTCTATCATCTGTTTCTGCTCCAGTTGAAGTCAGCGAATGATGGACCTTCACTGGGTGTCAAAAAAAAGTTCCACTCTTAGCACTGACTCTCCTAAAGTTGTTGAACATTAATGTTCACTTAAAAACAGAAATCAGGTCTGATAAAAATGAAACCTCTCGATTATTTTCTTTTAACTTGATCCCTCAATATGACTTAAGAGTTAAGTGCATCCATACACTTACCCACATTTGATACAAAGAGAATCTGCCTGGATCAGAGCAATATCACATTAATATGCTTAGATCCTGAAAAACACTGAAATATCATTCTAACTGCATTACGTGTGGATCATAGCTTCTATATAATGAGAGTGAATAGGAATAGTAGATTATAGTCGTGTGACTGGATCAGTAATTATGTAGGTTTGCTTTGATTTTAGTTGCACTCCAATGCAGCAATCTTGTTTTACCCTCACACAAGCCACATCTTTGTGGAGTCCTGTAGCTCAGTGGTTAGAGCACTCGCCTTGCAAGCGAGACACCTGGGCTCAATTCCAGGCAGGGTGAAACCTTGGGCAAGTTTCCTTACTCCACACGCCTAATAATAATCCCTCCAAAACAAAACAATAATAAATTGGTCATTTTCAATCCACGACTGTTTATGGGACACTGCTGTGCACAATTGACTGCCGTGTTTCGTCCATAAATATACAGTCAATTCACTTTACAGCATATTCGGTGAAGCTCTTTGAGAAGTCTGGAAGCGTGAAAAGTGCTATATATATGCAAGAATTATTATTATCTTATTATCTTTGAAATTTAAGCAATATTTTTGAGCCTGCTATGTGCTGATTTATGCATAAGGCCTGTTTTGTTAAAAAAAAAGCTGCACTAAGGAACATTTTGTACCATTATGAGATGGCAAGGATTCTTCCCACTTGGCTCCTGTTAATCCTGCAAGCTAAAGCCCTTAGCGATACGGTGGGTCTAGCTGGACATGAAGCGGGAAGACAGTATTTTCAATGGCAAATCGCACGCTTTTGGTTCGTTAAACTCCAGAAGTACCTGCCCAGATACCCCAAACACTTCACCCTGTTCCTAACCCTTTTCCGAATTTGCTGAACACTGTACATCCCTGAAGGGACAGAGTGCGCACTCCATTCTAAATAACCACAACATTTCCATAAGTATCTGGAACACTCAATCAACCAAACAAACCCATCTCTGACGATGACCTTTATTCCTGGTCATGTAGAGCTTAAAGTACGTGGCAAGTATATGGATTTTACGTGAATTCTGTGCCGTTAGAAGTAATGGTAAAAGTCAAGTCACCCAACCTTGCTCACAGTTCTACCCATAATTTGAGATAATAATATGATGATGTAATGGTGGTGGAAAAGGCAACTCCTTAATGAAGCATAATGAGCAGTAATTATGAGCTGTCTCAAGAACATCCCTAAATAGTAGTGAACGGCACAAAAACACAAAGCAAAGGCACAAGCAATACCCGTGCTCACCAGGAATTAAATTGGAGTCATAGTCACAGGGTTGACTCTCGCTACTATTTTCAGAGCACTGGTTTCCCACAGGAAATAAAATGTTACAGTGACGTGTGCGGTGCTGTGAGCCTGAATCCTCACAGGCTGACCACTCTGACCACTCCGACCAGCTATCTGCATGGGAAGAAAGAAAGGAATAACTGCTTAATCCCTGGAAAAGCAACAACTTCAAATTGTTAACCAAAATTCAATTGGTGAATAAGTAAAGTGATACTTGACCGCAAACATTCACAATATAACCAGATTATTACATTGAACAGGGGTACTGGATGGCACACTTTTCCTTTCACTGTAATGGGTGCTAAGTGAAATGGTTTGGGGCAATATCAACCCAGTTCAACCTGGATATAATTTTGCAGAACATAGCTCTAAATTACCACTCCCTCACAGGGGCCAGAGGGTAAAACTCCCACCCCATCCTCCTCTGCGTTTACATAGTTTACTGGTGTAGTCTGAGGAATTCGCTGCTCACTCTGAAACACTATTTTAGTGCGGAACATTGGCATTTCAGTGCAGCAGAACAGGAAATCGACTGAATTAAGCTAACTTTCTTCTGCTTGACTCACAATCTGCCTCTGCGATGGCAGATGGACTTGCTCCCAGCAGATGATGCCTGTGCTGATAGGAATCCGTGCTCAGACAGGACTCTGACCCAAGAGGTGAGTGTGTGAGCGAGAGTGGCATTAATTACCAACCTGCATGAAATTTGTGGTGATTTATAATGCATTCCTTGTGACAATTATCAGCATTTCAGGGGCAGCAGATCAGGAAATCGACTGAATTAAGTGTCTTTTCTTTTGTTCCTTGATTCAAATCTGCCTCCAGGTTGGCAGATGCGTTCCTTGTGTTAATTATCACAAGGAATGTATTGTAAAACCTTACAAATTTCACCCCAGTTTTCTTTAACTTGTCTATGGCCTGGCCATTCAAAATGGGTCCCTGTTTTCTGGGAGAAAGCATTTTGGAAAATCCTGTTATAATTCTGTCCCTGGCTTCAATCTCTCAGTGGTCGTGTTATGAGCAAGGCACATAAAAATAAACAACTTCTGGACCATCATTTTGCACTGATGTCATTTATTTAAGTGTTCTGAGACTCTACTGCACGTGAAGGGTCACTATATAAATGTTGTTGTTGTACAGATGTGTGCGATGCACATAAAGTGCCACTGTCTTTACAAAGTGACATTACTGGTGCTTCCTGCCCCTGGGCAGCATGCAGCAAGGTTTGGTAGCAGCCCTTCCTTTACATAGAGCACTTGCACAGCTTTCTTGAAGTGACATCAGACTTCCAATGCATAGCAATGTCAGCAGTAACCTGATGACCCAGAGGTCAGCTATTTATAATTGCAGGAAGGCAGCTAGTCAGCACCAAAACCCGGCTGTACTGCATTTAGAGTTAACATGGGCCCAGAGGAGATGTAGAGAATTAGACCTGGCCATACAGCCCAAACGAGACCCGCACTATAAACAGGCCAGCGCTATGCTGAAAAACATCAGTAGTGTAAAATCGTCAAGTCTTAAAAGTGAATCTAGCTTACTTTCAGGTACAAATTTTAAATTGAATCCAGGAACTATGCATACTATTAGTAATTAAGTAATAATGGATCCCTACCAATTTACCTACAATGTAGTCCCTAGGCTTGACAGTATTTATTTGAGAAGCTCTTTAAGATGTCTCACCATGATAGGGCGTGACATAAAGCAAGCTCATTCAATGTCTATCTCGGAAAGCAAAGAATTGCATGGACCATGTGAGAATTGAAACTACAGACAAAATCCTTCTAGTTAGGCTGTTGTCTTAAATTTCCCAGATTACATTATGTTATTATTCATTCACAGATTCTGCCATCATTCAAAGCACTAAATTGTTTTTCTGATCTTCTGCACTTTCAACACTGTTGACTAGCTGACTAGCAGCAGAGTTCTGGGACCACTAGAGTGCTGAAAGTCCTTTTAGTCTTAGCCTGTAAGATTATTTTGCCTTAAGATTTAAGATCACACAGATTTGTGAAAAAGTCTTAAAATTTATTCTTAATTTGGAAGACAGTTTTCCGCAGTTCTGAATAAGAACTGGCTTCCAAATCAAGATTTTTCCACAATTCTGTGCAATCTTGAATTTTGGAACAAAATGGTCTTACAGGCTAAGACTGAAGGTTTGACTGTGGTTCAAACTTGCAATCAGTAAGTGAAATTATGCAAAGCAAGTTTCAACCGCAAGCAGCTGGGAAACAGACTTTCTGTTATCACCCCATCCCTCAAAAAAAGGATTTTTTCCATTTATTCATAACAAGTAGAGAATGGATCACAGTGTGAGTTTTTCTGTGTCTATTTGGTGACAGTCAAAAATCACTCAAAGAAGCGTTTTGAGATGTCCTCCTGATGTGAAAGGCGCTATATAAATGTAAACCATATTCTATTGCTGTACCACAAATTTGCAGGAAAAGCGTTTTTTGTAGATGATTTATGGCAAATGAAAAGTGTAGAAAATTCAAAAGCAATTTCAGGGCCAAATGGGTAGTTAAAGGTTTGTTTATTCTTTTAACCATACCTGGACAGGCCTGTGTGTTGCAGAGTGCTTCCTCGGTGTGCAGTCCCAAACAGATATCCCCCCCGTAGGCTGGTGCAGGGTTGCTGCAGGAACGTGTGCGCATGTAATGGCCACCTCCACAGGTCACAGAGCACTTGGACCAGGAAGACCAACAGGACCAGATGCCATCCACTGAAAACAACAGCAACAAAATCAAATATTTGAAATAAAAATAGAAAAATACCACAAAAGCACAACAAGATTGCTCAACAAACCTGAGCAAGTTTAATTCTTTAAATGAGCCCCTTGCTTCAGAACACAGGTTTCGATCACAAAATACATTGTTAATTCACTTTACAGTATATTCTGTGAAGCTCTTTGGAAAGTCTCAACAGTGTGATAAGGCGTTATACCAAACACAAGGAATATTACAGGTTTATGAAAGTGTGTTTTTGAGTACTGAATATGACACATATTGACTAGTCACAATCAGCAATTATTTTTGCCTTCAGTTTCAACAATTATGCTACTAATTGGGGTGCACTATCCCTGTACATAAACATCAATGCTTGATTAAAAAAATTAAAAGTTAAAGCTCACTTGTTTAAATCAAAAGAACCTAATAGTCAAGCCCAGAAAAGGTTGTAGCAATCCAGTTGGGTGGTCCTAAAAAGTTCACCAGATTTCACCGAGATATGAACTCAGATTGCAGGATTCAGAGTCCAGAGTTCTCACAATCACATCTTTCACACTATACACAAATCATCGTTTTGTTTACAGGAAAATAGTGTTGGGAGTCTAATTTGCAGTATTTCTTAATGGGATTCCTCCTTAATAAGGAATCCAAGTTATGCAAATGAGGTTCCTTCCAATATCACTCTGCTTTTATACCCTCAAGTCAACAATGAAGTTACAAATTCTAGCAGGATTCTTGATCAAGGAATCACATGAAGAAATACCATAAAATAGCCCCATTATCTTAAACCAGAGGAATTTAATGCCATAAAAGGACTACAAATACTCTTATAACATAGAGGAGACAGTGGTGGGCTGGGGAAGCATTGCAATAAAAGATGCAGCAAAAAAGCAAACAGAGAAGAGAGGATGGAGGTGGAAGAAGGGTGACACTGATGTCTCTGGGAATCCTGGATGGAGTTTCTTTGTGTTGATCTCAGCAAAAGCTGGAAAGTGCTGCTCGTTGGTGGATGGCATGTCGGAATGTGAGGTGGAGGGGTAGAGGGAGGGAGTTCAAACTCAAGGTCATTTCTGCAATGTGAGGGACAATAGTTCAATTTCGAATACAACATCTGTACTCAATATTTTTGTATTTTATTCTCAAATGGATTTTTGTTGTTTTAAGAAAAGAAAATGTTTTTTGTTATTCTGCTTCAGCTGCAGCCTGTGCTGATGAAGCCAACGGACAATAGGAAAGAAATTACTTCGGCACTGTTACACTGCCAGCTATCATCCAATGAGTACTGCTGCTGTAAATCAATAGGTAAACTTTCTCTTTAAGGACTGTCGTCACTCATCAACTGAACATTTCAGCCCAATGATATGATAAATAGGCTCTGTTCACTGCCCACTGCAGCACTCAGCCACACAGACCAGGAGTCACAGGTTGGAATCCCAGTCTGTGCTGAGTTAGCCCCAAACACTGGCAAAAGAAAAGCATAATATTAATTTTCTGCAATAGAATATCCTGTTCTGCGGCTCCTAGGTTTTGACCACCTCAGCCTATAACAAATTGAAATTACAGAACAACTTGCAGTTATATAGCACCCGTTCATACAGGGGAGAGCTGCAGAGTGGAAATTAATAAATATAAATCAGCAACAAAACAAACACAGTCAGAGTCCTACAAAACACTTGGAAGTTTAGGCGGAACCAATATAGGGTGGGCCATGTTTTACCTTCTCAACATCTAAAGTTTTACTAATTCTCATTTTAAATGAAGTACGTATGTGGCTCATATTGGCTATGTTGTCTTACAAAAAAAATACAAAAGCTTGGAGGTTGCTTTCATCTTTCTTTGTTGCAACTGGCAACCATCTGTGCTCCACATTACAGCTCACGCAGTGCCTTGTTTCCTTGCCAATTCAACCAGTCTTTCAAAATCTGTCACTAATGAAAATCGAGTAATGTTGAGTATTTGTTGCAAACTGACTTCGCTGGTTGAGAGACATTTCACTGGAAATTAGATGAGGCCGTTTAGAGCATCTGGCTAGCTGTGGACCACTTTAGGATAAGTGGCTAAGGAGGGATAGCATGATAGCCACCTCTGAGCATGTGGCTTAGTAGCATCTCAAACGATTAGGAGTGCACTTCACCTCTTACCTGTTTACATAGAGCAAGGGAAATTCTGTTGGATGAGGGTGTGTATAAAAAATAAGTTGATGAGGTGAAAATTGGACTCTGTAATTGTTGATTATTCTATCATTGATGAACGCAGTCAACTGTACCAGTTGATAACTGGCCAGGACTTCATCTTAGTGGTTGGATCCAAAACTGCCCCAGCAGCCATTGGGCCTGCCAATAGTATAGGTACCAAAGCTGTAACATGGGATACTGTCTTAACTCAGATTTTTTAATGTTAATCCTGTGAACGCCCTCCCTCTCCCCCCACACCCCCATTTAGTAGATTTGACAAAGGACAAGTGTGCCATTTTGAGGCTAAGACTTGCTAGCTAGGTCAGTATCCTTAGACAGAGAACAACAATTTAAATCCATTTTGACTTCCTTACCTGGGCAAGGCAAAGTGTTACACTCCTGATATTCCAATGATGGTCCCAGGCAGGGAAATCCTCCGCTCTTTGGCTCAGGATTGTTGCACATGCGTTTGCGACTTCGAATCCCTTTGCTACAGTCTCTGCTGCACTGTGTCCACGGCAGCCAGGCCGACCAGGCACCATCCACTGTGCGAGAGTTAAACCTACCAGATCGTAAGATGTTCCCAGAGAGCCCTGTTGGAAACAAAGTGAAAGAAAATGAGAGAGGAACGAAAGCATGAAAAACAGCAATCAAAAAAGAAAACCAGCTTACCTAGGAAGAAAGAGAGGAGGAAGGTAATTCTGTTCCATTCACCAGGGAGTCAAAGTAAAACATCCCAAATATAAGGTTCCAATTATAAAACAGTTTATACCTCACAACATGTGGAATACTTTAGCCACAGGTCAAACTCAACTGGATACTGTTTCAGGAGAATAATTTCTCCATTTGCGATGGATTGGTGAATAAAGTGGGTTTAAGGAAGCCCATATTCTTCTGGACACATTCCTTGTGCCAAAATAAGTATCAAATGTAATTTTAAGACTGAAGCACGCCTTGTTGGCACTATTCATTTAATATTATCACAACCACTCAGCATAGCAATGGAATATTGCGCTCATAATTTAAAGAAAACTATTCTGTACTTTGTTGATTTTAAAGGCCTTCTAACTCTCCTTTTGAAGATATAAATGACTTCCATAGTTGTGCCTTGTAATGTAGCACAGGCTTGTTATCAAAAAGAGAAATAAACCCAATAGTCCCCTGTTTCAATAATTATTCAAGTCTTTTGTAAACCTCAATGCTCTGTAACTAAAGTGAATTGACAATGGCAGAAATGCCAAAGAAACAAATCACTACCTCTTTACATAATAGAAGATAAAGGGCTCAATTTGAAAAATAACACTTTAAAAGTGATTTAAGCCTTTAATCTGGGATTGATATGCCTCAATGGCCACCAACTATTTTCTCAATGTCAAGAGAGGGTTTACCCAATCATTGGAAGGCTTTAAAAGTGAGGTCAAGGATCATGAACCCAATCTGTTGAGAGCTGGGGAGCCAGGAGCCAGGCAAGGAGAAGGGTGATGGGCTCGTTGAATTTATGTGGCTCGTGGCCGTTTGTGAGATCTTGCTGGTGCAAATAGCTACTTCATTTGCCTACAAATACACAACATCAACAAAAACAACAAAATTACACCTGTATAGTGCCTTTCGCGTCGGGAGGACGTCCCAAGGCGCTGGATGGACAGAGTTACGGACCCGAGCTGAGGGTCGGGTGGGTGAGGATGGAGCGCAGGGGGTTAAGCAGGGAGATCGAAAGCACGGTCGAAGAGGAACACAGTTGCTGCACTTCATAGTAAAAATCCTGTGAAGCACTTTGAGATGTTTTGACAACATGATACGATTCTACATCAAGGATGATTATTAATTACTGGAGAAATTCCATGTGAAATTGTTTATTTTAGACTCCAATATCTTTCAAACACACATTATCACAGTAAGATGTAAAGCCTAGCCTTCCACATCAATTTTAGTAATAATACCACGTGTCAAATTTTATATTGATACCTGAGGTGCTCCATAATATAATTTCTGGAATCCTACTGTTAACATTTAGTTAAGACTTAAGGAAATGAACCCAAACAAAAATAAACAAAAGATAATCTAATTTCTTGGGGAAACTGTACATAATTCTTGGACTCAGGATTTTGTCTGCCACTGACCTCCTGTAGAACAGCCAGTAGATCCATCGCTTGAGCAATAACGCATCTCTATCCTTTGCCGACCAACATCCAGCAAGTTTGGGTCTTCCAAGCGTGCTTTGCATGTGTACCTGAACCTTTGCTCATAATGACCTCCATTATCTGAGATGTTAACAGGTGTCCATGGAGTCCATGGAGTGGTCTTCTTCAGCTCAGGGCATGAGTTTGTGTTACAAAGCTGGTATTCCTATATATAGAGAGAGATTAGTCAAATTAGCATTCCAGTGTTAACCACATATCAAGGCTGACCAACAATTCTATATCGGTTCTATTGTCTTTACCTGAAAAACCATAGTTTTAATCTATTCTTTGCTGAATGCAGCAAAACTATGTGAAGCAGGCAAGGCCATTAAGATAATCATTGACCTCTGTGCAAAAAGTAATTTTAAATTCTGCATGACTACAGTCCTGCAGAATGTTCCCTCTTTCATATATCTTGCCTCAAAGTAGAGTCAAAGCAGATGGAAGATTTAATATTTCACAGGTGGAGTTCCGAGTGTATATAATTTAAAGAGCATTATGGTAAGAATCACTGCACCCAATGTTACAAACACTAAAAAAGTATTTGTTCAAACTGGTGTGTAATCAATCTATATTAAATAACACAGCCTGGAATAAAACATATTTTACAAATGCTATGCACATATAAACACAGAGTGTATACCACACACCACTGAATACTATAGTTGTAAATATTTGTTATATATTATAAACCGCAACCAAAGTTAAACTACAGCACCTCAGTTTGCAATGTCAACTTCAGAGTTAGATATCAACCCAAGATCAGTACATTTGTGTTCAGTGTCTTAATAAATGTGTGTTCTCTCCATCCAAACCCTGAAAACCCCGTGGATCATGTGCCATGTGCTGTTGTCTCTGACAATAGTAATTATTTTGTAACATAAAAAATTACATAATAAACACAGAACAACATTTCTAATTCGCAATTGCCATACGATACACCCCAGAAAGAAAGAACCTGCATTTTGATAACAGCTTATGACACTGAAACAATGTATAGAGGTTGTATGAGTAGGTAAATGCAGGAGCCATTGGAGTCAACAAGGCAACACAAACTGTCATGAGGTGAATGTCAGTTTAATCTGTTGGCCACATCATTAGAAATTCATAGTTTCTCATGGTGTAGCCATTTACAAATGTTTGCACATATAAGCACATAGTGTATACTGCACACCACTGAACGCTATATTTGAAAATATTTTTGATAGTGCATACCATTCCAGGCTATGTTGTTTAATATAGATTAATTACACACCAGTTTGAACAAGTGCTTTGTACAGTGATACAGTGCCATAACATAAGCTTTTTAACGTCCGCCTGAAAAGACAAATGGAGCATTAGTTTTGAACGTCTCATCTGAAAGACGGCACCTCCAACAATACAGCAATCCGCAGTATTGCGTTTCAAGTCACGAGAGGGGCTTAATCCAGATGTGAGATGACTATCAGTTGATCGAAGCTGACTCGAATATTTCACACATTTGTACATTTTTATTTTCGTATGATCGTTCCTTTGTTATTCTAGCAACCCTGTATCACAGCAGTTAAAAATTATTTGTGTAACACAAGAAACTATTTGGTGACACTAAGTAAAATATATAAAAACATCACCGTGAATGCATCACCGTGGGAATTGGATAGGCAATTAAAAAGGAAATATTTGTAGGGCTACAGGGTAACATGAGCGAGTGGGACTAGTTGATAGCTCTTTCAGAGACGGCACAGGCACGATGGGCCGAATCGATTCCTTCTGTGCTGATTCTATGAATGCATTTCAGAAAGACAGAAGGAAACATAAATTCTGCAGAAATGACTAAATTCAAACTTAAAAAAATTACTTTTAAAGCCAAATCCATTTGCTACCTTTTAGTGTGGCTTTCCCTGCCAGTTGATGAACAATAGAAGAGACAGCTTTATTGTAGCTGTGCAGGATCAATTTGGGTCCTAAGCTGGAAATAAACAGCTCATCCTAATCGAGATACACTATGGTGCATTCCATCACATCCAATTCTGTACCCCTTCACCAATAGCTCCAAAGCCCGCTGATACCACTGATAATTCTAAGACAAATACAAATCAGTTTCTAAGTAAAACTAAATCTGCAAGGAAATTCAACTTCCGAGGTTTTAAAAATAAATTCTTGACCATTCTCGTGGTGATGTGTAAAAGTCAGATACAGTACAAGGAAAAACTGATCAAAGTGTGGAAGCCCTTAATCTTTTCAACATGGCACGAAGAGTCCTCTAAAGCTACTGTAGTCCATAGGGACATTTTCAGGATTCTCATCCTTTACAAGCACATTGTATTACCCTCCCCTTTTCCCTTCCCTATATAGTATCTACACTTATAATAGGCCACATAGCTATAGCTCTTGATGAATAACCTTTCATTTTAGCAGCATGAGGTATCTTTCCGCCCAGCTGGTAGCAACAGTGGATATTTTCACTAGTCAGTTTGTAACTAAGTTTTTTTGACTGTCGTTCGTTCCCACAAGACACAGACAGTTGACTTATTTCATAAATCTCTCAGTTCAGCAGTACAGAGGCCACTTAACATTTGCCAGTGGAATCCATCTAAGTTACATTTGTGACCTGTGTGAAACAGGCTGGAAGTATAGAATGACAATCCCTTGAGCTAAATTAAACTCGGAGACGAGTTGGGTAAGAATTTAAGAGTGCCCCTTAGTATTGCTCTGGCTTGACACTGTCAGAGAAGGGTAGAGTGATCAATGATCGAGGCATAAACTTTTATTAACCACTAAAGCTGAACCCAAACCCGCTATGATAGCTAACAAGCCTGAAATAACAGAAAACTTGGGTTGAAAAATGCAATGTTTCTTAACAGATTCAATCATTTTCAAATCTGTTATTGAATCTGCTATGAGACCTCACATTTTTCACCCATTCCGCTGGTTTGAATTCTTCCTTTAAACGACGGCACACGGGTCGTGTCCAAAGCTATCTGTTATAACATTTTTTGTCGTTATCTTGTATTCTTGTTTAGCAGTACCTTTGCCCATTTCTTATTCCCCACCTCAGAGCTGGCATTTGAGTACAGCCTCACAGGTTACCAAGTGAATTAAATTAAACCTTTTAATTTCACTTCCCTGTCTTTTCGCTATACCCATTAATATCCTTATTTGCCAAGTATCTATCCATCTCCCTTTTAACCATCCCAATTAATTTTGCCTCTGTAGCCATCTGAGCAATGCATTTCTAACCATCTTAGCTCAAATAAGATTAATCCCATGATGGTGATGGTTATCAGAACCAACTGCCCCAAAAATCTTAAAAGTCTTCATTTTAAGACAATTTAAGATTTCTTAAATTTGATCTTAATTTGGAAGCTGATTTTCCGCAGTTCTTAACTTTTTAAAAAAAAACTGCAGCAAACCAGCTACCAAATTTTAAGACAATGGCCTTAAGGCTATAACTGTGAGAAATGTCAGGTCTTAGGTTTGTGACTAGTTAACACTCTTTCTGGAAGATCAGGCCTGCCAGCTGAGCGTCAAAATATGAGGGTGTGTTTTGTGCTCCTGCTCTGGAGTTCTGCCACAGCGCTATTTTTGTTGGCTACTTACTAAGCTGTATCCAATGCTTCCAGAATCAATTTTCATTGCATCTGTTAGTTGATATATTTTATGCTACTGTGAGAAGACCTGTTTACACCCGATCTAACTCTCCTGAAAGTAAGGATTATTATTATTATATAGCATAAATGCTCAAAGACTAGCAAGACTGTTCTCAGCTCTAGTGGATGCCTTCTACCTATCTGGAGACAGAAAAGGTGGTGTTTGGTGAAAATTTCAATCCAGTTAGGTTACTGTCCAGGCACCTTTATTAGAAGGAAATGCGAGCTACTGATGTGTTCATTCTCACCAGCTGTAAATGGATAAATGCTTGGGTGGCCCTTTGACCAGGAATATTTAGCTGCTTACCTCCCAGTCTGGAATGCTGGGCTACAAATATAACATCTAAATTTTACTGCAGAACATTTTCCCTCAGTTTACTGCGTTAACTTTATAAAACTCAGAATAGAGTTTTATTAAGTTTTTATAAAGTTTTATTTTTTTATCAAGGATGTTTCTCTGCACTTTAAAACCTCTGCCTCACATTGCAGGATTCTGTAATTAATGTGTTAAATAATATCTCAAATTATATTTGCGATGTTAATATATATTTGAAACATACGATCAATCTCATATGAGGGGAGTTGGTTGTGATTAGCTTCGAAAAAGATCCTTTCTCAAGGAGTAATAAAAGACTGTTTATACACAACAAACTGTTTTCAGTCCTTATCAGTCATTTTCTCATGAAAAAATGATCTGCAGCTGGAGAGAGAGCTATGTTGTATTTTTTTTACAAAGGAACCATCTTGCAAAAGACAGTAGATGAAAGGTCACTTAACGATCTGTATAAACGGAGATTGATTCGGAATAGAATCAGAAGAAAGAATTGAAGGAGAGGGATCGAACTGGATGTGCCTTGAACAGAATTGGCATTCGAGTGATCGAATTAAACATACAATAATACCTGGATACTTTTGGGTGATCGAACTGAGAAACGTACAACAATACTTGGATACCTTTGGATGGATATATATATTTTGATTAAAAAGGACACATTAAAATGGACATTAAATTGGATATTACTACTCTATCTCTCCCACAGCATTTGGTTAGGTCAACTTAAATCGTTGTGAATTATGCGTCAATACATAAGCATTATTGTAATGTATTCTTTTAATTACTTATAACTATTACTAATCTGAATTAATAAATATCTATATTTTTGTATAACATTTGTGTCAGTCCTTACTTCACCTCTGGGTCACAAATTTAAATTAACCCGTACAAAATTACCACCTTGTGATAGTTAGATGCTCAGTCATTCTTTGTGCACGTTTCAAAATTTTATAGCAATTACCATTGAATATTGATCTGCAGTACAAGACAATTAATGAGGCAAGCTGGCTAGTTACATCACTTACAGCTGCCACTAAAGGCATACCACTCCAGCAGGCCTGTTAAATGAAGCTTTCACAAGGCTATTACAAGCTGTACTGTATTGCGAAAGTCCAAAAAACAGACTCACTGCAATGAGCTTCATAAAGAATACTTCTCTAGGACCTAGCCGTGGCTCCTAGGTCCAATAAAATAAATTAAAATCACGTTCAATTCCTGAAAGTGTGAAAGGCAAGACTTTATAATGAAAATAGCTTTTGGAATGTGATAATTTGAGTCAACCCTCTGAGCTGGTCTCGGTATTCCCGTTCCTGAGCCAGACGGCTGCACAGTTCTCCAGGTCACTGCTGATGTCACACCAGCCAGCCTGGTTCATTGGCATGACTCAAGAGGGCAAACAACTGGGAGCAGAGATTTTTCCCACTCGGCTCCTATTAACTCTGCAAGCCACAGCACTAATGGGTAGGGGGTCCTAGCTGGACAAACGCAGTGTTCTTAATGGTAAGCTATGCAATCGTAGCTAGTTAAATTCCAGCAGTACCACAATACAGATTCTGGGGCCCCAAGCTTTGGCTCTCATCAATCCTTCGCCGAGTAGTCTCTGGAATCAGGTAAAATGGGCGCGTCTCTCCAGGGAGAGCACGCATTCCATTCCAGATAAAGGCAAATTTCCACATGTAAAATTCTTTCACTCTGGTTTCTACACTCTTAAATTGTGATGATAGGTTTTCCTATGTGTCAAGACACCTAGTTGACCGAAAAAAGTGGAAAACAACACTAGTTCAGTCATGATAAGCCAACGAGTTTGTTTTAGTGCTTTAATGTTTAATCCCATGATATGAATTCCTTACAGGGTGAAACCTTGGGCAAGTTTCCTTACTTCACAAGCCTGGTAATAATCCTTCAAAAAAAATAATAAATTTTTCACTCAATCCACAATTGTTTGTGGGACACTGCTGTGCGCAATTGGCTGCCGCGTTTCGCCCACAAATATATAGTCAATTCACTTTCCAGTCTATTCTGTGAAGCGCTTTGAGACATCTAGAAGACGTGAAAAGCGCTATATCAAATGCAAGGATTATTATTATTATTATTACAGTTCATCACCAGTTCATTCATACTCAATGAGAGAAATATTTGATTCAATTAAACTAATTAACCCATTTTGAAACAATAAACATACATTTATCCTCATTGCACAATGCAAGTTTAAAATGAATGCCTGAATGCTGAATGATTTCTTCATAGTAACGATAATCCATGCTTTGGATGTCGTGCAGTTCATGTCGGGAATAGGTCTGAAAGAGCTTCACTAGATTTAATGTAAAGTACAGTGACTGTATTTTATAGGCGAGTGTACGTTCAGTCACCAGAACACAAAATACAGTATTTTTGAACCATCTTGTGGGTTACCATGATTAAAGATTCTGCTGCGATGCTCTCAATGAGCAATTTCTGGTGTATTATCAACTTCAGCACCACCTAACAATTAGTCGAGCAAGAAGCCAATAAATTAACACCTATGGTGATTCCATGCCTCACACATAACCATCATGAAATATCTTGCTTATAAATATATTTTAAAATACATTTATTGACCCAGCATAAGTATAATAAATTAAATGAGCATTCGTTAATATAGCTCTACTATCAAAGAACCGGGCTCCCAGTGGTCTTTCCATAAAGTTGAATTAAAACAGACCAGGAATCCCCAGGACAAGGACACAATGTTATGTGGTCGTTTTCAGATTACAGAATAATAGGAGCATTTATTCTGCTTATTTTTATAGGCCCTTTTGGAGGATTTTGCATTAGATTGAAGAGGCTTATAAAAAACCTTTTTCATTTAGGTAACTTCAGAGTCAGGATTCCTCTCCTCACAGCAGCCAATTGTTCAGCCTAGGATTTGTTTTGAGTGATTGCCAGTTGAATAGCTGGTGCGCATTTAAATATGGAGCTGCTCAGTATCTTATGTGTGCAAAGGAGACTTTCTGCTGAAACAGCTACCCTGAAGGCTTCCTGTCTTTTGACCTTCCCGGGTGCCCTCGGTTTGGACAAGGTTCACACAGATGCCTGCCTAGATGACAGAGGCTGTAGAGAAATGCTCACTTTGACATTTTCTCACAGAAACGTGAAGCCAAACCTTCAAGTCATTTCATCAATGACGAGGAAAGTTCTAACTGATAACGGGGAAAAAAAACAGCCGATTGATTAACATGACAAAAGATTCTTTTGTATCCAGCAAATTAATTATCATTCATTCCTCCACCCATCCCCCAACCACTGCATAGTCGACATTGATTTGAAGGAAATCAATTCATTGACTCTGCTTCAAACAAATGCACAGTGCACAGATTTTTTTTCCCCCAAAATTTTCTTTCTTTGAAGGTGGCGTCATGGTCAGGGACAGCTTCTCAGGTCTCTGTGCAATCTAACCCAACTAGCAATGCTCCTTCCATAAACTGGGATAGTGAATGTTGTTGGGTTGCAGGACCGTTACAGTCATGACAGAGCCTGAGTGTGATTCTTTTCTCACTCAATGCTTACTTTCCAGCAGGCTCATCGAACAGCAATTAGGATCAACGACAATTTGCATTTATACAAGGAATTTCTCCCTGTGTCCTGACCAACAGGATACAGGGAGAAACAGTGAATTACTATTTCCCCAAGTGAAAATAGTAATTCACTTCATAGCTGTTTGTGTGACATTGCTGTGTGCAAAATGACTGCTGTATTCGCCTACAAAATCCTCCGAACATGAATGGCGGTAACTCAAATCCAAGGATTATTATATAGCACCCTTCACATAGAGTAATACATACAGAAATAGTGTCAGCCATTGAGCAGGGAGGACAGGGAAGGGGGAGGTGACCGTTGGTACAGTCAAAGTGGTACATTTTCAAGCAGCGTTTGAAGGGGGTAGAGCAGGGGTGAGACAGACATCATGCTGCTGCCTTCAGACACAATGGAGGAGTGCAGCATACGAAGATTAACTCGCCATGTTTTCCACTAAATCTTCAAATAAATATTTCCCATTTTAAAGATTTTATGATAAAGATTCCTAGTTTTAGCCATCAGCATACATTAGACCCTGTTTCGGTGGTTTACTTGGCATCTGCAGAAACCATCAAATAATGCACAATGCTCTACAAAATAACATTTGCATAGTCCCAAGGCGCTGGACAGTCAGGGATGTGGACTCGAGCAGGGGGATTGGGATCAGGGATGGGGGAGGGCAAAACTGCCTTGGGAGGCATGTGCCAGCATTCCTCTTTTAGCTGCAGATGGGCTGAACGTTTGGTCCTCTACTACAAACCAGCATTACGGTCTTACTTCTTGAGTTTGATAGGGAGATGTACAGGGGGCATAGGGGGCATAATCTTAAAAGTAGAATCAGGCCATTTATGAGTAAAATCGGGAAGCATTTTTGCACTCAAAGGGTGGTAGAAATCTGGAATTCTCTCCCCCAAAAGGCCGTGGATGCTGGAACCATCCACACCTTCAAGAGTGAGGTTGATAGATTTTTAGTAGGTCAGGGTATTAAGGGATATGGGGAGAAAGCGGGAAATTTGAATTGAAAGGATTAGTTGAGGTACAGATCAGCCATGATCTAAATAAATGGCGGAACAGGCTCGAAGAGCCTATTCTTATTCCTATGTTCCTGCATGGGTTTTCTTGCTCAAACAGCAACTAAGCAACTTAAAAAAAAGAGTTTCTTCCGACAGCAAGGTGTCAATGGGAATTATGGGTTTTCAGTATCCTTTTTGAAACCTGACGGCAAGTATCTAAAACTATAGACATTGTTTTAAGTATTGGTTTTCTGACCCCTTGTCTTTGGGGAATTTCATCAGAAGTAAGGGAAAGATCCATTTGACAGAAAATAACATTGGGAGTCACAGATTATGGATTTCAAATTACCAGACGTGTAGCTGATTGCTTGCTAAGGAATCCACTGCACAATATAAACAGGGGAGGTTACCCTGCATGGAAAGCTTAGGATATGACAGAACCACATCTGCTAGCAGTGGTTTCTGTGACATACACGCAGCATTTAACTTTATGAAAAGTCTGGGCAGCAAAGAGATGACAGACGTTATCACACAAGCAATCAGCCCTGAAAGTGACTTGAGTCAACAAATGGCACATTGTGAATTAAATATCCAAATCTTGGTGTATCTGGGAGTCACAGGATGACGAATAGGAAAAAAAACATATGAAACAGCTTATGAATTTCAAAGCGTGCACTAGAGCATTAAAAGGAAAAAATAGAGGTCTCAGAAGGTCATCAGTTCTATTTGTTGCATTGAAATGTAAATCTTTCTAATTGCCATGTAATTTTTATGGGTGGTGGAAATTAGTTCGGCTGACACCTCAATTCTTCACACTTTGGCAGCCTCTGAGCACAGCATAATATCACAACAATTTTGCATTAACAGACGTTTGCTTTCGGAGTAAATTAATTGGAAGCAAATATTCTGTGTAATATTTGCTTGAATTATTAAAGAAGCCAATCATGCTTATGTGCCACAAAGCATGCATTACGATGTCAGTGACAGAGTGTTGGGAATGTGAAGAAATGGTGGCAACTAAAGAAAGTTTGATCTCCAATACATTGCCATAGTAATAAAATAATAGAAAAAGCAATTATTTTTCCTTAATAACCTCATCTTGATAAATTGGTAACAGTTATAAACTCGAGCTAAAAGGGAGGTAAGAGGAAACTTTCATTCAAAGGGATTAGTGCTTTGTTACGAGGCTGACAGTATAGCTGCACTTAAAAGGGAACTGGAAAGGCATTAGAAGAGAAAGAATCTAAAAGGTAGAGGTTACAGAAAATAGTGGGGAATCAGGATTAGGTTAGCTACACAGAAAAAAGCTTCTTCCGATGTCCCGGCCATCAATGACCCAGTTAAATTTTGCCATTCATTTCATGGCTTATCAGAAATTGCTATGTGCAAATTGATAATCGCATTTGCCTACAAAATACATAGTCACTAAACCTTATAATAAATCCTATGAAGCACTTTGAGATGTTTCCCGACATGAAAGTTGCTAAATCGAATGCAAGGATGATGATCCAGTTCAGTTCAACTCAATAGATCGAATGTTTCCTCCAATGCTGTAATGTCATCAACTCACTAATGATGTGCAGGTACATACCGTGTTGCAGCCTGGGCAGTCTTTCCCATTCCGGCAGGTTCGGCGCCTCGCCTGAACACCTCCCCCACACTGCGATGTGCAACGTTCCCATGAACCCCAAGGAGACCAGAACGTATGAGCGGGACATTGCAGATGCTCATTGCAATACCTGGAATGTAAACAAGGTCAATAGCACACAAGCCACACTGTGGTTTCACTGCATTGTATTGCATTAGAGCGTTAGGTTTCAATTAGCAAAACATTTTTATTTTGTTTTTGCAAGAGCATTGCCATATTTCTACAAATGTTCATCTTGTGACAAAAAAGTACTATCAAGGATCCTTATTAACATAGGTTATAAGGCTCACATACAGAAATGTTGATAAGAACTTTCTTACTGGAGTGCACAACTCCATTCATAAATGTGACCTGATAATGAACCGCCCACGACATAATAACATCAAAAGCACTGCATGGCGACAATAGCCCCGAAATACCAATGAAGAATGTTTTGCAATGAATGAAGGAGCTCGGATTTCATTATTACTGAGAATACAGGCCTCTTTCACTTCAGCATTCGAAAATATTGGACTGTAACCTTGGCTGGCCTTGCAGTTAAGCTATTGCCTACCGCTGTGCCTGACACAGCCTAAGTAGGGATATCTGATTGAATACAGTGGTGGCGTGATAATCAAATGAACTTTTGAAGAGAAATTCTGCTGAATTAACATGGCGGGAGCATTGAGACAAATTTTCTCACTGAACATCACAACACGACATACAATGATAGCGTTGAACTGTGAAGGCTCCTGATTTATAAAACTTGGGATTCAACAAATCACCGTACAACTGGAGTGTAACCATGTGTAAGTGCCTTCGCTTTTATGTCATGCAAATAAAGTTTATTCACTCATGTTCTTTTGTTTATTTTCAGTTGTTTTTAATGTTTTCTCTCGTATTCCCTCTTCCCCATCCCTTGCACCATGTCCAGGGGCGGGGAGGGGGGGGGGAAGTAGAGTGACAGACAGGACATAAGCTCCCCATAACACTCTGGAACTACCGTGGAAGGCGGTCTGGAGCTATTGATGCCTTGCTTCCATTGTGCCCTAATGCACAACTTTGGGATTTTAGCCTGTGGAAACCACACGTAAACCAGAATCATATGTATGCCACTAGTTTTGTTTTCTTAAACATTAAAATCAGAAGCAAGAAATCGCAGAGAAGATTTCTCCTCTGTCTTTGCTTCCCCCAAATAAACAAACATTTGAAGAGGAAGAACATAAGAGTCAGGGGAATGAGCAGGGGATTGGGGTTTTAGTAGCTAGCTGCCATGAATGAGCTGACACCAGCAGAGGCTCAATAGATCAAGTCCTAGGCTATAATTACTACAATTCTATGATCCTCCTAAAATCTGCAGACTTTCAATATTCATTCTTTCATGCTTGGCGCCACCTAACCATTATTCTTCAATTTGCTTCACAGTATAGAATATACGTTGGAACGTTACACCTGATCGTATTATTCACGTCATACAAACATACATAAGTCATATACAATTCCCATTGACTCTATCACCAAATACTAGGCAGGTATTCTACAACCCCTTCTGCACAACTGCATCTGAATATCACCTCTAGTTAATAAATGGAGCTGCAGTAGCCTCTGACAATGATCGTCCCCCTCTCCCTGCTTGATCTTATGGCCCACACACTACATGGCAACACAGAGCACCCACTCAGCCATGAAAATCAGAATTTTAACGGCACTCATGTTACAGTGGGAGCAATGACATACAAAAAAAAACTTAAGAGCTGATATTTACCAGCTGTATAACATACACGACATAGAACAAGGACTATTACCCCTGGACCTTGGCAGACCCCTCTTCTCGAATTGGCCCATGGGGCCTCAGTGCTGTGTAAACTCTGCCGTCTGCTGTGGCTCAGGTTTTGTTAACTTGCCAGGCAGCTGCACGCAAAGGCTGCCTTGCTCCTGCTAATCATATCCATCTGACACAGGAAAAGTAGACCAGCCAAGGGGCTCACAGTGTAGAATAATCACACACTGCAGATGTAGCCTTTTCTGTAAAATCATGAATTCCCTCCTCACAAATATTGTCCAGTACATCAGAGACAATTCCAAATGACTCTTGTAAAAGAAATGCATGGTTTACAGAAAAAAAACATAAAACCTTATTTTTTTAAATATACAAAATCTACCAAGCTGCTGAGCAAGCATTTTGAACAATGGACACAGGTTTAGCTTCATTTTCAAAATATCCTTGGAAGTTCCAAAAACATCAGTATGTTTTTTCAGCTAAGATCTATCACTGAATAAACCTGAATCTTGCGCTAAAGCAATGGGCAAGGGCCAAGTTTCCTGGTTCTACTGGCAGTGCTTCAAGCTAGATGGCAATGCGGTCTTCCCTTGGGCCTAATCCTCTCCATCATGTGCCCAGTGAAATAACCTTGTGTGAAATCTGTCAAAGGGCTAGTGTTTCAGCTGGTGTTTGAATTGTGATTAAATTCACCGGCCAACCCTAGCAAGCTAAACAGAAAAACAATGCCAAATCCAAAACAGGAAGAGTGAACGCTAGTGCTTTTTTTTTACAAAAAGAGAAATTAAAAAGATGTCAGTTATATATCAGCACTATAATAATAATCCTTGCATTTGATAAAGCGCCTCATCAGGTCTTCGAGACGTCTCAAAGCGCTTCACAGAATATACTGTAAAATGAATTGACTGTATATTTCGTGGGCGAAATTGCACAAATGAGTGAGTCATCCCTACACAGCGCTCTGAAGCTGTACTCACTTGGAGTGGCTTGCAGTCAGTTTTCCAGGAGAAAACCACCTAATTTTAGCAGTTTGGGCCATCTGAGTGGAGGCAGCAGTTCACCTTGCCTGTTGTCATTTGATGGTTGTTGAGTTACTGACACTTTAACAAGTGTCAGCCTGGCTCAGAGACTTGCACTCTTGCCTCTGAGTCAGAAATTGTGACTTCAAGTTCCACTTCAGGCTTCAATTCAAAAGAACTTGAATAGAAGAGTTTGACTGCAGCAATTCACACATGGGAAAATTGCCCAAGATTATACAATTACAAATGTGTTTGCATCTTTATCAGGTGAAACTTCATCCCTACTTATCTACTTTTCCATATTGGGTTTTTAATCCATAGATGTTATAGTTGTATTAAACAGTGCAGCACAACCTGCACACACTATATAATTCTAATAAATCTTTAGCAGGCTTATTACTCAGTACATCTTATCACTAACACATACTCTACAAACAGTTACTGATTCAGCCACCCATCTTCACTAAAGCCTATTTAGGACTAATCTGCTAAAAGAGCATGATCTGGTGTCAGTGTTTTACCCTACATTAATCATAGCTCCACTTAGCCTTGTGATCCGGACTCATCGGTTTATTTGTAACACTATTAACTCTTTTTAAAATAAAATTATGCATTGTTTATAATCACCTGAATGGTCTGCTTTTTTTTAAAAAAAGGCTTATTTCAGTATCATGTGTGCAAGCCTTTCACAACTCCATAGAGATTTCAGTACCGAGACAACAGGGGCCAAAACCTGTAACCCAAGATCTAGTTTTGTGTGGGTTCATGATGGACACCAGCACTGCTTAGCTTCCTCAGCTCATTGACAGCTCATTAACAAATCATTGTCAGCCGCACAAGAGGGAAGGGATGAGATGTCCCACAAAGTCCAGCACAAAGAACATTTTTAAACACCTGGGGAATGGGTGGAGAAATTCCACCTGGATCACGATTTACTCTACTTTTGTAGCATTTCAAAGCACTTAAAATTTTGCAACTTCTCAAAATACGGTCTTTTAAAACCAGTTTTCTTTAAGTTTCTTTGTAATAACTGCAGAAATCCAGCTTCAAAGTTAAGACTGAATTTGACAATGTGCCAAATTCTGGAGGCTCTAAAATGCTATATAAATAGAATAAATCTGGACCTCTGTGTGATTCCTCCCCCAGTGCTATGTAGTGCATTTAATCTTCAACGGGATCTAATTTGCCAGGCTTCCAGAGTAGGCTTTCTGTAGGTCCAACAGGAAATCAAATGTGCTAAAATATTACACATTAGTCACCAATACACATTGGTTCAAGTGTATTGACTGTTAAGCGCTCTGAGACGCTACCCTGCATGGAGAGCCCTATATAAGTGCAAGTTGTTGTTCACAGTACACAGGTGAGCATTGGAGAAGTGCTCCACTACCTCCCTATAACAACTGGAACCAGCACTAAATCCATGATATCACAATGTCATTACATGAAACTCCTCAATCTACTTACTTGAGCCTGATCCCTTCAGGCTGCTAGACGTCTGACAGTAAGCAGATTTAAGCAGTGAAGCCTAGTTTAGCAAGATTCAGACACTAGATTCTTCAGTCTCCATCAAAAGTAAGAAAGCCAATGTGTATTTATTTAATTCCCTCTTAAAGGTTAACAGGGCACTCCACATCCTAACATCACTCTGTGTACAACAATTCTCCTGAACTCTCCTTTAATTCTTTTGGTAATTACCTTAAAACTATACCCTTTAGATATTGACTCACTGAGCACTGGAAATAATTTCGCTCTGCTAACTTTATCAAAACCCCACATAATTTTGAGGAGGCAAGGTGAAGGGACTGAGGCAGATTGAGAGTGCCACAGTTCAGGCTATTGTGGCTGAGAGCATGGCTGCTGATGGTGGAGTGGAGAGGACGAGGGATGTGCAGGAGGCCAGAGCCAGCTGAAGAAAGGGGGTGGGTAGTGCAAGTGCTGCTTTGATTTTAGCTAATTATTTGGGGAGGATAAGTTTGCAGGGCTATGGGGAGAGCGTGGGGGACTGGAATTGAATTGGATAGCTCTTTTCAAAGAGCAGGCACAGGCACGATACGCCGAATGGCCTCCTTCTGTGGTGTATAATTATATGATTCTATGAAGTGTGAGCAGGAAGCAGAAAAATAACCCCAGAATCTCTTTCTTCATAATCTCCTCTGCACCCTTCCTGTATTGAGGTGCCCAGAATTGGACGCAGTACAACAACTGCAGGCTAGCCGATGACTTATTCAGACCTAGCATTACCTATTTGCTTTTATATTCTATGATCCAATTTATAAACCATATAAACCTGTTGTGCAGCTTTATCAACTTGCCATCCCTACTTTAAAGATTTGTCTATATTAACTAGTCTGTACTTCTGCTCTCGCACACTTCAGTGGTTGCTATGTAAAATAAAATGGTCACACTGATGCAGTGCAGGATACACTCTCCACAAAGATACATTGTAATTGGTGCAATGTAGCGAGAGAGAACTTATTGCAATTTTAGACAAATTTATATAACAAATTTAAATTACAATCTTTCTAAGAGGTTAGACTATGCCCTTCCTCCAATAGGCAGATTGATAAGGGCAGGAGTATCATACTTACAAATATCTGATATAGGAATATTTGATGTTAACTGATATCTGAATAGAAATGGGATATTCCTTTTAGAAATGGATAGTCATCTGTTTAGTTTGTCCCCGACCTACTTTACCATCCATTATTTGCTACATTGGCATACAAATCACACAGTTACTCCACTTTACAGTATATCCTGTAAAGCACTTTGGGGCATAGTGTAAAGTGAAGTGACGTGAAATGTGCTTTACCAAATGTAAGGATTATTATTATTACTACATTAGGCTGACTCTTGCTACAGCAAAGTATACCAAATACCTGTCAAATCTTTTACACTCTGAGCAACACTAAATGTAGTTCTGTGTATATCAATGTAAACCACCTTACTTTTTTCTCTCTTCTCTGAATCTGCAGCCTCATTCTACAGTATATTGTTCAATTCCAATAAATATAACCTTATTCATTTTTTGCAAACTTTGATCATTTTTTTTTCAGAATGATAGAAAGATATAACGCAGTTAGGGATAAAATATTTGGGCCAAATATTCTTTGATATTTTTGTATGTTTTTAGCTTTAATGATCAATGGTTTTACTGGGAAATGTGTCTTACCTTAAATGCCCTAAAGGACTGTAATTAGATATACAATGCACATTATTATACATTACTGTGCACAGCTAGAGCTCACATTCCACATTTAAAATTAATTAAATTTAATTGAAGAAATCTTGTAAACAAAGCATGGAATTATTAACTATCAAATCAATTTAAAATAAATATGCATTGTAAAATATACCTTTAGGTTCAAGTTAGTGAACAGATCAAGTCAGTGAATGTGAGTTTGAGTTAAATGAGGATTACAGTTTTACTTCATCAACTACTGGGATTAGGACACATGAGTAGGCAGAGGATCAATGTCAGAGAATGCTAAACTATTCCTTTAAAAATACTACTATTTTGCAAATTCCAGCAGCATTACACACCATTGTTTTTACTTCCCTGTTAGTAGTAGGACTTTGCATAATAAGTGATTTGCAAATTACTCAAAGCAATCAACCTCTCCTATAACCAATCCTAATAATATCAATCTTTCCTCTAACCAATGTAAGCAATATACCATTTTGCTTCTCTCCTGCTTCACCTACATTACACCGCACGATTCATGATGGTGTATTTACCCATTGAGCTATCAGGGTAACCTAAAAGTATTTCTTCCCTCCCTTTGTCTTCTGAAGATACTGATTCATGCAGGTGTACATTTCTATGGGCACTGCTGCCTCTGGAACCTGGTTAGTAGTTCCCCTCCATAACCCAGGGCTATTGAAGCCAAACCCAGCATATCTTCTAGAGTTTGAGTTGAGATCAACTAACATAGTCCAGATGAGGGATCAAAATAGGACTTCCTCATCTGTTTGTCTCAGTTTCACAACATAAATTTATGACTGAGTCATCAGAAGAGTCATTTGAAGACTTTGTATTCCAATTTTGATCAGATTTGGCTGCACAGAAGGCATTATCCCTTTGATAATGTAATGTCCGGTGACGTTTTTAAAAGGATATCAATGATCTTGGATCTGCTGATGGTTAGCATGATTTACCACAGTCAGTAAAAAAAATCTCAATCATTTTCAATTTAGTCAGAATAGTTTCCTATTCATAGACATGAGATCTGACACTATTATCTCTAAATGTGAGGTAATGATGGAACCATAAAAGAAAGAGAAAACTATAACTAAATATCATTGGATCCGTTTTTTCCATCAGTAACATTTAATGGATTTTCAGATTTTTCTCCCAAATTCTTAGACAAGATGAGGTTAGACTAGACTGAAATGGATTTTATGCCCGTTCATAGAAAGATTACCTACTTCTTGCAGTGCACTGTTTGAATCAATAAACATTAAACTCCCAAATACCCTTCCATGGCACAATGATAATTTTCTTTCTTTCAATGTCTCACATGTAAAATACCTTCATGTCTCTCGCAACTCTCACCAGCATTTGCCACCTCCCCCTTACCTTTGATATCTCTGTTCTAAATTTTTGCTAGCTATCAAAAATTGTGGGTCTCACTATCGCCACCAGTTTCAGGTAGAGTTTTCAAACCTCCTCATTGCTGAAACAAAATGTTTTGTTTTCTATTTCACACCAAGTATTTATTTCACTTCAATAATAATAATAATAATCCTGCATTGCATATAGTGCCTTATCATGTCTTTGGACGTCTCAAAGCACTTCACAGAATAGACTGTAAAGTGAATTGACTGTATATTTGTGGGCGAAACGCGGCAGCCAATTGCGCACAGCAGTGTCCCACAAACAGTCATGAATTGAGTGACCAAATTATTATTATTATTATTTTTTGTTGAAGGGATCATTACCCCCGGAAAAGCTATCCGCCAATCGATTAACAACCTGGTTCCTACTTACTGTTAAGAAAACGGAGGCATGTGGAGTGAGGACACATGCCTAACTCCTGCCCAGGAATCGAACCCAGGTCCTCTCGCTTGTAAGGTGAGTGATCTAACCACTGAGCTACAGGACTCTACATGAGGTCAAATTTACAGTCCACGCAATATTTACCATATCAAATAGCCAAAGGAGGTCCGTAACCTGTCATGTTTTGAATGGTAAAGTTCTATGGCATTAGTAATCTGGATTGTGATCTTCCTGGTTTACAGGAATTGGCTTTTTAATGGGCAAAAAAGCTAGGAAAAAGATAAAGGTCACAATCCAGATATCTAGCTTGGGGACATTGGGGCATTGGCGGGTGGGGGTGCTGGGGGTGGTTCTGCCCTATTTAAATAAGATAACTGTAACATGAAATGCAAATTTGAGATTTCTTAACTCTTAATAAAACCTAAATTTGTCCAGCATTGAAATAATCCTGACATTCAAATATGAGGTGGATCTTTTAAAACATTGATTTCTGAATCGACTAGAAGGAACTATTTGTCGTCTAATTTGTGATGCCTTCCCCCTCCCTGGCCTCAATATAACCTTGATGGGTTTTAGTTTAGCAGTGCTACGGTGGCTAATGAGTTTCTGATTTTTCCTCTCCTTGTCATTTCATTCAAATAAGACTTCCCTCAATTCCTTCCTGCTCCTGCATTCTCTCTGCTGTAATCCAAATTTATTGCATTGTCTCCTCTAATTCATTCTTAACCAGGATCTCAAGAGAGAAACTTCTTATTCCCTATTTGCTTCTGAGAATCTACAGACTTTTTCTCTGCTACTCTTTTCAACCATGGTAGTGTGAATATGCGACTTGGACCTATGACCTACTTCCTCAATAAATCTGACTTTGCATGGTTCAGCTATAACAGCAATGAGTTGGTAGATGACTGAGTGAAGATCAGCAACTTGGTTAAGTTTGATTTAAAGTGAGTACTAAAGGACTGTCATTGAAGTCGCACCAGAATTAATAACTACAGTGTAATGTACCCATTGCACCACTGTGTCCTTCTCAAGCTAGTTTATTTTCTTAGAATTATTTTATCACAGAACTCAGCCAAAACAGTCATGACTTGAACAGCAAGCTAAAATTTGACCCGAGACTAAATGGATCCCTACAGAGCTGTCCATCTTATAGTACACAGATCAGCAACTTTCATCTTTCTGCTCAGTTAAGAGACACTAGTACATACCTCTCTTCGCGATTCTGTCCCACACAGACCCGTCCACCGTGCCGAGGCGTCGGGTTACTGCAAGAACGTTGTCGGACTTGAAATCCTATTCCACAACTTGTGCTACAGGGAGACCATAGTGTCCAAGGTGTCCAACCTCCATTCCTATTGAAACATTGTGTTTTAATGCTTTGTTTTTAGCCTTTTGATGTAAAATTAAACAATAGCGAACAATATTATTTACGAACAATAAACACGAACAAAAAGACCTGTGTGATCAGTGCCGCAATGCGCAAAACAAAAAATTTGAATGGGATTTCTTAGATCACGCATGGGCACAAGGAAATGAAGAAGCTGGGAGAAATGTATTTGAATCTCGAAAATGATATGTGATCCGTACTTAGTAATGCTCCTAACCGTTGCTACATCTAATGGTAAGAGAAATTTTGCACCCGAGAGAGTTTTGTACAAATGAATAGCAATTAAAGTGGGTTCAATTATGAAGTGCCTTGAAGAATGATGGCTTTTTCACCAGAGCTGAGAGGTTGAGGGGTTACTTGACCTGACCTGGTAGAGGTTTTCAAGGTTGTGAATGGTTCTGATGGGATAAATTGTAATAAGGTTATTTCCACTAGTCAGTCAGTGAGTCAGAGCAGAAATTTCACCCTTCACGTCAGGAGGACGTCTCAAAGATAATCACAACCAGAATAAGAGCGGAAGCTGGGGAGAGGGAGAGAAATATTCACACAGCGAGTGGTAGGAATTTGGAATTCTCTGCCACAAAACATAATTGAAGCAGAACCCGTAAACGCTTTTAAAAAGGCATTTATGTTGATGCTTGGATAAGGGTGTGGGAAACGAAAGGAGAGTGAGTGGCTCATTTGGAGAAACACACAAGTGCAGACTTGATGGGCGAAATGGCTTATTTTTGTGCTGTAATATCCACGTCTCAATTACCTAGAGCAGTTAGCAACTTCCATGCTGACTCCCACACATTGCTGACCTCCACACTGTGGTCCTGGGCTATCACACAACCGAGTTCTGCAGGTGCACAAACCAATGGCACCACCGTCAGTGTGGCTGCAGGACTTCCACATTGACCACGGTCCAAAATGACCATCCATTGTCATGTTTCTGGTCTGGAAGACAAATAAGTGTTTAAATAACTGGATCATAATAATATTCATAGTTATAATTCTTGCACTTAATATTGCGCCATTCACGTCGGGATGACATTTTAAAGCTCTTCACAGGATTCACTACAAAGGGATGATGACTGTATATTTCTATATCCAATCAATTTATTTTTGACCGCTTGTTCTATAAAAGAAGGCATAACTTGATTTTATACTTTGAGCTTACTTTTGAATCACAAGGGTTTCAGAAGAAGCTGTTATTAATAATCCAACTCATTATTACAGGAATGTATCATTCCAAAGTGACACAATCTGCCCAGAATCTGGTTGGAGATCATGCATTTTTAAACTGCAATTAATGCTCACTCAAAGCAGTCACTCACTCTTAGGTAGCAAAATTATAGAATCAGAAAAAGTTGATTGGAAAGTTAAGAAGTTTGCAAATTAGACCCAGATGCTTTTTAGTCTTATCATCCTCACAAAATGTCTTGGCATGTTCCTACTTAGAAGGAATACATACATATTCAATGGAAGAAATTTTGGGAGGAAAAAAAGAACATGCCATTAATAATAATAATCCTTGCGTTTAAAATAGCATATTTCACATAGGGAGTACGACACAAAATGCTTAACGTGATTTTACTGTTAAGTGTAGTGACTGGGTATTTGTTGATGAATGCAGCAAATCAATTTGCATCAACAATGTCCCGCAAACAGCCATGAAGTGAATGATTAATTTTAATTGGGGATCGTTGGCCAAAATACAGGGAGAAACTGATATTATCCAATTAGGTTGGATGAGGCATGAAACCATCTGCCTGATCAGGTGGACACTAAAGATGTTATGACGTTATTTGAAAAGAGAAGGGAGTTTCTTCCAATGTCCTGGCCAACCATAAAATTGGTCACTCACACCATGGCTATTTGTCGAACAGGGCTGTGTGTAACTTTGATCTGCTCTCACAAAGAGAAAGCAAAAAATACTTGAACTCGGAGCTACCTTGAGTACTTGGTCACTAGGCTCTGGCCAGGCTTTCCCGGCTGGAGATCTGGTCACCTGACTTGCTCGGGTGGTCGTGAAGGAATGGTTCAGGTCTGCATTGTCCTTTGACAATTTGGGGCCTAGAAGGGTTTGGGGGATTAGGGTTTGTCCGCGGGGACAAACTATTTCAACTTTATGAGAAATATTTTGAGACTGTAAACTGTGAAAAGATGTGGGAAATTCATGTGTCATATATAAATTGCTATTTTTGTACTCACAGGGCACACACTAATGTTCTGCTCCCACTGGGTCATGCTCATACTCTCCTCCAGTGTTGTGCATTTCTTTAAAACCAAATCCCAGCCACAGTAGGGGTCCCGAGCTCCCACGCATGAACTGCAGACAAAAGATCAAGAGGTCAACCTTTAAACTCTCACCTTTAACCCACAAACACAGCTGCAAAATACATTATGGTAACTGCAATTTTTAACAGTAATTTTAGTTCAGCTAGAAAAATAGTTTTGATTTCCATTCTTTTGTGGGATCAGTACTTTGAGACAAAGGTGTTCCTTGAAACTTATATATTAACTCAATGTGCTATAAGAATTGTTAACACCATAGGAGGAAGATTTATCATAAGAATTACAACAACAACTAGCGTTTATATAGTGCCCATCACCCAGGATAGCGTCTCGATGTATGGTTGGACACAGAGAAGGGAGAAGTGGGAGTTGTCGTAGGCTTTAAAGGTAGATGTAAAATTTAATTTAAGACTTAAAACATTAAGGATCCAAGAATCATTGGAGAACAATTATGACAACATCTACTTCTGAACACAAAAAGAGTTAGGAATCATTATCATCTTAGTAGCTATAATGGCCCCGACACTCACTGGCAGTAAACCAACTTGTTTTTTATTCATTCTATTTCAGTGAAACCATAAATGTCTATCGCAATGAAAATGTAATCGTTTATTGAAATCACAACTGGGAACCCCTAAGGGTAAATTACTATCAAAAATAGGTTTTTAAACACAAAGACTCAAATATTTAATATAATGGAAAATTATATTGCAAAATTCACTAAATAATTTAGAGTTATGAATACTACAGGGCATCATACCGTCTTTCAGTGAGCTATCAAACACTGGCATTTAGCACCTCTGCCTTTATCAAATTTATTTGTTGTAATTTATTTGGTTGATTGTAGCCTAACAATTTTGCTGATAAACATTGTCAGAGAAGCCCAGGCGTGAGCTTTGTGATCTCTGCTTTGAAAGCTCTAATCCAGATGAGATTTTCAAGACTGGCACTGTCTGAGATAAAAAGGGGCATGCAAGGACTGCGGTAAAAGCCTGCAAAGCTGCATTGATGAGAAGCTGGTTTGATGGACTATATGAGATGAAAAGCCTATGGTCTGTCAATACATCATTAAGCAGCTCCGTGTGCTGGCTCAGACAGAAAGTAATGTTGAGTGGTTCTTCCATTCAGATTCCAAATGGCTGAGAAAATTGAAAAGGGAGAAATTGGAATCATCAATGCATGGTTTTAGTGCTCACCACTCGATACCCACAATCCCCCGAGTAAACTAAAAGTGAACCAAGGCTGTCAGCATTGATCCAGCTCCAGAGGACAAAGGCAAATAAGATAAACTCACCTATTACTGGAATGTAGGTCCCTTCACTGTGTACCTATTGGAATTGCTCCACTAATGCTGTACAACAAATTGAAACCGGTAGCTTCTCAGAGCATGATTAATGCAATATACCCAAAGCCTCTCTTATCCGCCAGTGGCCTTCGGACAGAGCAATATCGCTATTCCATGTGTGATTTATCTTTCCACCAGTGATATATGTAATTTGTTAGAGGGGGATTGTGAATAGTCCAGGGTAATTGTAGCAAATTGTAGCAACTGTAAGAAACTTTAACCTTCCAATATATGAGTGAACCTGAAGTTATGAAAAGCAAGGATTTTAACTCGACCAATTTCAAGCTGCTACTATTAGCATATAGGAGCATGGATGCTTGCATACATATACATACACACTTTCATACACACACGCTTGCCTTTCTCTCTCTCATACACACACACACACAGACACACACATGCTCATGCACATTCTCACACATACGCAAACTCTCTTACATTCAGAAGAGCTTCTTCTCATGCCCCGGTAAATATTCAGAGTTTAAGCGTCATACTCAGAAAATATTGTCAAATGAATTCTCCTTTGTGCTCCAATCTCCGTTTTTAATCCGGATACAGGTAATTAACGGTTCTGTTTGCTGTTCAAAGTACACAAAGGTTCACAATACAGCTGCATTTGGTATCATATTCTGCACCAGGGATGGAATTCTTCCCCATTCATTGTCAATGGGGAATTGTACCCTATTCAAGAATGTGTGCAAAGCCTATGGAAGTGAGACGAGGGTGTTTCAATGAGAAATATATGTTGGAATAAATAGTTTCTTCCCCACCCCTCATTCACAGACTTCAAGCCATTCAGGTTCAAAAATAAAGTCGTGCTTTTTGGCACTGGGACTGAAACCCTCTTCGCATACTCAAGTGCAAACTGGTATTCGAGAATCTTACCTGCGACTTTTGTAAAAGGTGCAGCGTTTCAGGGGGATTTTTAACACGTGATCTCGGAGGCCAACAAACAAAATACTGTGGCTGTGCAGTATCTGGAGGTTCTTGATAGGTTCTCTCTGATCACTTGGGAAGAGTTCGATTTCCTCCAGCAGACAGCTGCTCACACTCTCATTCACTGGCGCAAGGACTTTCTTAATGGTCCCGTAGTCTGGGGGGGAGAAACAAAAATAGAGTAGATTGAGAGAACATCGCAGTGGGAATAACAGCTGATCAGGACAGAGATAGCAGCCATATGCTGTTTATTTTTTTGGCCTGCTAGGCTCAAGAGCCCTAAATGTTTTTACGGTGCTTTTCCAGGCAAATGAAAATAGTCTACCATGCACTGGCAGACCCCAGCATATTCATCAGACACGGAGACTTGTAAAATAAGCACAATGTTGACAGTGACTGAACAGAGCTGGCAGAATAACAATTGGTGCAGTGGTGCATTAAACCTGCAATTGTTCCTGCTGTTCAGCCAGTGCGGAACAATGAACATAATAGTCATCGTTTTAAAAAAACTTAACTTTTTTTCCACAGCCAACCAGCTTTGACGTTGAGTCCCCAATCTTTACATGTATTAGTGGATTAAATATATTGAACTTTTAACCTCATTGCTCACATGGTGGTGACTGTGTTCAGAGTGCGTGATGTGTACATAGCCCAGATTTGGGGTACACAGCGCCTGTGCACTCTCTTTTTGTCAGCCAGATGTTTGACACGTGAAAAACCATCACCATGTTTACGAGTATCGAAACCAAACTGAGACTTCCATGCATCCAACCTCACATGGAAATTCCAGAGATATTTATCAGAATGGAAAAGTACTCACTCCCCAGAGGGACATATCCGGCTTACCAAATTCCAGAGAGTATTAGTCACAGGTTGGTAAGAGCAAGGCTTGGGAACTCCAAAAAGGTGGTTGGAGTACTGCTGGAGTCCATCCAGCTAAAATCACATAGCTTGCCATTAAAAGCTTGTCCAGGTAGGACCACCTTACCATTTAGGGCTTTGGCTTGCAAGGTTAACAGGAGTTGAGTGTGAAGCATCCCTGCCCCAGTGACTGGTCTGCCCTTCCATGTCCTGCCGATAAGACATGCCCTGGAATACTGAACCGGTCTGGCTCAGGAACTGGATTATTGCCACAGGGTTTGCTCAATCCTGACATTCCATTGCCAAACATGTCACCTAGGAGCCAGTTCAGCTCCAAGGAGACCCCACCTATTTCCACCCCCAAGGAAGATAAGTCAATAGTTTGACATCCGACAAGTGAAAGTTTAAGCCCTCATTAGGTGGATTGTAGTAACCAGGAATGCCCTGTGAGCTTCCTAGTGGGAACACAGCTCAGTATGAAATGCGTGAGAGCATTGCAAGCATCTTCTTGGCCAAAGCTCACTGCCCGTGCACTCTTGAAATTGTATTATCCTGTTATTATTCTGTTGAAATCAACAGTGCGCAGTGCTTAGGTGTCAGACTGGCTCAGTTAGTAGCACTCTTGCCTCTAAGTCAAAAGGTTATGGGCTCAAGCCACATGAGAACTTTGAACTCAGATAGTCAATGCTGACACTCCAATGCAGTACTGGGACTATGTTACCTTGTCAGAGGTATCATTCCTCAGGTGAGATGTTAAACTGAGACATGAATTGAAAAGAGGAAGAAGTTTCTCCTGACAACAATTCTTCAGACAAAATTGATTATTCATGGCTGTTTGTGGGAATTTCCTGTGTGCAAATTGGCTGCAACTTTTACCTAAAAAACACAATCACTACAGTTTACAGTAAACCATGTGAAGTGCCTGAGATGTGCTCCCAATGTGAAAGGTGTAATACCATAATTAAAGAATTAGTATTATGACATTATTACAAATTACAGTTAAAGTCAATCCACTGGAGCTAGCAGCAGCTTAGACATGTTGGGCAAATGGCCTCCTCAGATGCTGCAGTTTCTAGGATTTTATGATATTTATACATCTTTATATCACATGAGAACTGTAGAGAGAGACTGAGAACTGTAGAGGTATATCATCCACACATAAATTACTTTCAATTTAATAATTCTATAAACGTGCTAGGAACAGATCATGGGTGGCAGAAAGGTATGATGAATATCTCCACTCATGAAGCCTGATCATATTTCACTTTTCATTGTATCACTAATAAGTAATATCATTGTCTGCTTCATTTGGGAAGATAACTCATCACTCGAGCAACTGAAGTCATACAATCATCCGTGAGTTATGATCGATCTCACAAGTGGAGGTATTCAATCACCTCTCAGTGTTGATAATTCCTAGCCTCTCTAAAGTCTCACTGCTTAAATTCTTCTCATGGTGAAAGCATAGAGCAAGAAAAACCTTTGGTCCCTTAAGTCCATTCCTTCCTCAACCCGGTAATAACGATCCTATTGTTCAGTACACTCACTCATACATTCCTTGGGATAGTTCTATGTTCTGTGAACTCCAACGATAATCAGACCAAAAATATTCGTTCATCCTCATATTTCCACTAATCACCTCTGACCCACTTCCCTCCAGAGAAAATATTCCTCTTCAAAACCTTTGATGAGCAATTGTAAAACACTTCCTTATAGCAACAGGGAATCACCCCGGGGATGCTGTCAGCTCCTTCAGAGTGGCCAGATTCAGAGCAGTGTTGGTCACAAGTTACCCATCTGCATCTCAGGCAAGAAAGAGCAAGAGGCATGAAAATTGCAACCTGTGATATGTTAATCAATACTGGGATAATTGTCACATCAATGAATATTACCACTCAGTCAATCAGCATCTCAAGAATTGAAGAAATTCCCTTAAAACAGCCACATAAAAAGATGCTGTATAAATGCCACTTTCTACAATGTTAGGAAGCAGTCGACACAGATAAAAACGGAAACACTTTACATTAGCTGCATGAGCCTGTCATTGGTGATTCAATGTCCTGTAAGGAAAGATCTGTCTCTTGTTCTATAGTTTTAATCCTGGTAATTCTACACCTCACAATAATATTTTTGCTAACAGCTCCACAGGCATTGCTGAATCAAGATGTCACAAGAACCCTGACGATGAGTAGAGCTCTTATCTTCTCACAAAGAAGTTCTGTCTATGGACAAATACATTAGGGTTAGGTAAAGTCCTGATAACCCAACCCTGACTTTACATGTCACTAACACTTAAGTCATTGTGTTGTCATTATTCTGGCCGCAATTACTTATGTATTTATAGATATGCTTTACTCGCACTCCTGATAACTCATCAGTGAGTCCTTTTCCCTTGGAGAGATGAATTATCAGGAGTTGACTCTATGGTATACGAGACAACCTCATTATGGAGCATCATATTTTTACCCACTCACAACCAGTAATATCAGGCATAAATTGAATAAATTCAGTGGAATGCTATATTTGCTGCCCTCACTGTCATCCTTTACCTTGCTAAGCATAAGGGACACTGAATGATACATCATACTCATACTCAGCAGTGTGATGCAATAAATATTTATCTCTGCTATTGAACATGACCAGAAAACTTGTGGGTGACAGGTCACTGGTAGGTTATAGCTCAGCTTCACAAACAGATAGTTATCATGGAATCACAGAAAGTTTATCATAATAACTTTTAAAAGTTGTTATGCACTCAGCTTCAATAATAATTTATGATCACGCAGGGTTCATTTTAACACATTATCGTATAAATATATTTGTCTAACGTCCCCCCACCCTTTTTCGCCGAGTAATAAATCCTCAATTAATGTCATCTTGTGAGTGGCTTGCATTCACTGGAAATAGGCTTTGCTTCTGCCTCATCGCTGATTCTGATGAATTCTATTCATATTACTTGTGGTGTGATTATAAGTAATTTTTAAGGAGAACTTCGAAAGTGGGAGAAAACTTACAGAAGCCACTTTGTTCCTGGGTTTTCCTGCTGGTTGACAATATTACTTACAATGTGATAAGGCGCTATATCAAATGCAAGGATCATTCTTATTATTATCCTGCAAAGGTTTCAAACCAGAGCACAGGCAGGTGGATTATTTGAAAGATGCACACAGTGAAAGAGCAAGAGTTCCTTGAACACAAGCTCCACTCAACATTGCTTTAAGCTGTGCAGTAATAGATTGAGCTCCAGAACAGATTTCAATTATCCCGCTGGCTTTAACAAGCACATTTTATTTTATTTCTGGATGTTCCTGGACTTTTCCAGTTCTTTCAGTATAAGTGCAGTGAGGTTGTTGAATGCTTCTACGATCTACGGATGGATTGTGCTTTTAATTGGAATTTTTATGTTGTAAGTAAACAAAACTATTTGGAAGAGGGCTAGGGTGGGAGGTAAGAAAGGGAACCATTTGCCAACATTTTCCAGCTGCTGAACATAAAGACCCTTAATTCATGGGGTGTGAAACCCAAGTGTCAGTGTTGAAATGAATCTGCTATTAATTTGTTTTATTCTGCAATTGGTTAAACACTCGCTGTGATTTACTGCCTTGATTTATATTGCAAGTGTAACACATTTATATGTCCGAAAATATACTGGGATGACCAATGCATGTGGAAGGCATATGCCAATTGCGTGGGCGAAAAATGCTCCTACACTTTTTTGATCAAATTAAAAAGAGTGTATTTCATTTTTCCCCACACTGTTAAATACAATACACATTTACATTTATGTAGCACTTTTCACATCGGGAAGATTTGCTACCGGACGTCCTTTTCAGAATAGCACCAAGCAAAACAGCTGTCGCTGGGTCAGTCTCACTCTGTAATGGCCGAACAGAGTCAAGTGCCGTTTTATGTGTGTGATGAGTGAGGTTAGTCCCCTCTTACCCCCCACTAAGCCTAATTTGACCGAAACCTGTTCCTCAAACAGAAACATAGGTTGTCCCCCAGACAACCCTTCCCCTGCCAAATCTGGGTCCCAAATTATTAAAGGACAACAATGCAGATGCGATACCTCATTCACGATTACCTGAGCAAGTCAAGTGAGTAGACCACCTCTTCTGCCAAGACAAGGTCGGCCTCAGCCTGGTCACCACGGGCTCAATGTACATCCATGTTCCAGTTTCTCCATTCCTCCTTGTGAGAGCGAATCAAACTCCTCAGTCACTGCTCACTCACAGGGAGCATGATAGCTGAGCCTGACCATATCTTCCTCAGACCTCCAACTTCCGGTGGAGGTGACATTCTAGTTAGCAACTTGGGGCAGAAACCAGGGCTGATTTCCCCTTTTCTAACACAGGGATACCAAGGCTTATCAGGTCTATGATCAGCTAGCTTAACAGACCAAGATTGAAACCCGCAACTTTCCAATCACTGTTGCCTTTCGCTCAACCAGAGGTGCTCTCACCCACTTGACCATCACAATTTTAAAAAATGTAAACCAAACATGCCAAGTTGAGAAGTGTAGCAATCGTAACACTATATAACATGCACTCAGACCAACGTGTTTTCTTTTGCTGGGGAGCAGTTTGCAGTACCTGTTGCCAAGTATATGATGTGGAAGAGCGTGTCTTTTCCCTGCACAACGTCCACCACTATGTGGGAAAACCTGCTATTGTCCTCCATGAAGTATGGGACAGGAAATATGGGCTGCACCACCTCGTGCATTAGGATAAACTTCTGAGCATCCTGGAGGTTCCGCTCCGTCAGATTCACGTAAGGTCCATAATCAATGGTGCCACACTAAGATACGAGTAAAAACAAGTCATGTTTCTGTCAAATATATGTTAAAATGTATTAATTCAATAATAGTTGAACTTTACGATTTAAAATTTGGTGAAAATGTTATGGCAAAGTGATTAGAAGTTTCTGACCTGAAAGTTTGAATTAGGATTTGGAAAAGGCAGCCATGCCGAACGGGAATTCTCCTGGACTTTGAAGGGTCCACCAAAGACCTGGGTAATGGCACTCAGATTAAACATACAGACAGCTGAGGCTGCTATGCTGTTCCTGTAGGAAACATGAACATTTGTGAGTTACAGGTTTGACAAACAACTTCATTGGGATTCGCAATAATGGGTGTAAATTTTCAAAAGTTCATAACAAATTTCATATCAACATTTCATAACAGATTTGATGTGATATCAAATCTGTTAGGAATTGTCTCAAATTTCATCCCAATAAATATATGTGCAGCATATGGAAAAATAAGAGCAGGGTGCAGTCTTAACACTGCTGAAAAAGACCACCCATAATCATGCCCTCAGGCACAAGTTGGATGAGAGGCACAGACCCACAAAATATACAGCCAATTCACTTTACAGTATATTCTGTGAAGCGCTTTGAGATGTCTCGAAGATGTGATAAGGTGCTCTATCAAATGCAATGATTATTTATTGTTATTATTTATTAAGAGGCAGCAGTTACGTACACATTAGTGGTGAAGATGCCGTACAGCATGTCTTGTTCGGGAAGAAAGAATGTGCTTTGCAGTTCATTGTAATAAAAAGGAATCTCTCCGGGTCGGGAACAGTTCAACCGGGCTTTCATGAAAGTTGTCCAGGTGTCCTCTAGGAGGAACCTCCCTCCGATGTCGTTATTACATACTCTGGCCACCCTGGAGAAAATGGTCTTCCCGCAATCATGTTCCACCGCATTCTCACGGAAGAAGAAATAGGTGAAGTTTCCAATGTTGTAAGAAGACACAAAATTTGGCTCTACAAAAGAAGTTTTCAAAGCAAAACTATTAATATTAGTAGCGATGCCTTTCAATATTGATTTTATCTTATATTCAAATACCTATATCTTTATACTGAAGGAGCAATACAATCTAATACAGTCTATTACAGTCAATACAGTTTCTAACAAGATTTGTTCATAAAAAGCGGTGGTGGAGGGGGGTGGGACTCAATAACTGATATTAATTCATGCCACTATGCAGGAAATCCGCTGCACCAACACTTTCTCGCAAGTAACCATAACATAAATCCAATTTCCTTATTATTCACCACTGGTGGCTGCAGAATCTCAACATCACAAATACTGGTGTAGTTTTCAAAGTGTTAAAAGGCCCTTCAGGATGTGATTTGTTTATCAGCTCTGATTGTCTATAAAAGAGTCTGCATTGCTCTGAATGCTCACCATTCAGCCACTTTGAGTTGTACTGGGCAGTGCGAAGAGGAGGGAGCCCACCCAGGCTGCGGTAGATGGCAGGGTCTCGTCCTGGGAAGTCCATGGCTGTGGCAGCGAAGAGCTCGCCGGTTGACGTGATGAGCGCAGTGGAATTGTGCTGTGGATTGTAAGGGCAGCGAGCCATTCCACTTATCCGATCGTGGACTTCTGTCAGGTTACTCAACTGTAAGACAGAAGACAACCAATTGGTAAAACATTAAGAATTAGGAGGTTAACAGGTTATTTATTATTGCTGAACAGAGCTAGACCTAACTGACATGCTCATGCTTCATTCAGGGTGTCAGCCTGGCTCGGTTGGTAGCACTCTCACCTCTGGATGTCAGATTGTGTGTGTTCAAGCCCCATGTCAGGACTTTCAACTCAAACTCTATGCTGACACTCCAATGAAGTGCAGGGGGAGTGCCGAATCTTTGGAGGTGCCAGCCTTCTAATGAGATTTAAACCAGGGTCCTGTCTGCCTGTTCAGGTGGACTTTAAAGACCTTATGGCATTATTCGAAAACTGAAGGGAGTTTCTCCTGTTCTCCTGCATTTCAGCACCTTGGGACATCCTCCCGATGTGAAAGGCGCTTTACAAATGTAATTTTGCTGTTGTTGTTGTCCGGGCCATCAACACTGCGGGTAAAATTGTTTCATTGGGCAAGTTTCCTTACTTGCCCATAGAACACTGAAAGGCTATTTCATTTGAAGTTTAATTGAAAGCTTTGAACGCTTACTATTTTTAATATTTATGAATAAATTCAATGAGGGTACTATACGCAAAATCTCTAAGTTTGATGTTTTTAACTTCAAACTTAGAAAACCAGCCTCAGGAAGGCACCGGAGTGGCACTAATATTTCTCACGCTAACCACGTCCACAACAAGCTCTCGGAGCCACATTGGCAAGTGTAATGTCAATTGCTGCTGAATTCTATCAGCAGTTCAGTGCTGTGAGAATGTCCAGACTCATTTCATGCGGGACTTTTACTCCTGGAAGAGAGACAAAACTTTTATCCCTTTTCTTGGCTTGATTTGAACCCTGGTATTTAAAGTGAAAGAACAGGCCCTCATCTCAAAGTCACAGAATAACTTGCCAACTTTTCAACAATCATCAATCCAATTAGAATTCCTAAAAAGCTGTGTCACAGCCTGATGTTTTGGCACATGGATTGAAAGAAATTACTGTAGTTTAGGCAATCTATCTTGTGCTGATCACTAAAAACATCCATGGTCGGCCGTCCTTGTTGATGGTGCCTGTAGAGAGCACAGCTTTAGAGTGCTGTTCGTGGGACATCAGCCCAGAACCAACTCAATCAGAGAATGGACGATACCCTGTGGAGAAGCTTTGAAATGTCGCACTGACCACAACAGCACGGCTGCCAGCAGCGGCTTAACTGGTGGAGGAGTAGATAGGGGGCTGGCAAGTGTTCTTCACACTGAAACTAGTCAAGAATTAAAGATTGTTTCGAACCTCAAGTTTCAGCAAAATCACTGCTGATAATTATCACATCAGAGATCGCATTTTTCACCTCATTGAGTGACGGGGGTGGGGGGAATAGGATTAAAAACTATTTAAACAGGGACTTGGTAGTTAAACCAATAATAATAATAATAATCCTTGTGTTTGATATAGCGCTTTTCACGTCTTCTAGACCTCTCAAAGCGCTTCACAGAATATACGGTAAAGTGAATTGACTGTATATTTATGAACAAAACACGCAACAACAACAACAACAACAACAAGATTCCATTTATAAAGCGCCTTTCACGTCAGGAGGACGACCCAAGGCGCTGCACAGTTGGGTCATGACCCGAGCAGGGGGGAAATGGTCAGGGTGAGGGGAGGGAAGGGAGAGAGCGAGGAGGGGGGAAATGGTCAGGGTGAGGGAAGGGAGGGAGCAAGGAGGGGGAAATGGTCAGGGTGAGGGGAGGGAAGGGAGGGAGCGAGGAGGGGGAAGAGAGTCGAGAGGGGAGCTGAAGGCACGGTCAAAGAGAAAGGTTTTGAGACGCGGCCAATTGTGCACAGCAGTGTCCCACAAACAGTCGTAGATTGAAGCGACCAATTTATTATTTTTTTTCTTGAGGGATTATCATCAGGTGTGTGGAGTAAGGAAACTTGCCCAAGGTTTCATCCTGCTGGGAATCGAACCCAGATCTCTTGCTTGTGAAGCGAGTGCTCTAACCACTGAGCTGCAGGACTCCACAATACTGAGTTTCCATGGCAGAGCAGGTTTGGTGGGTCGAAAGACCGCCTCCTATTCGTGCTTTCAGCCACTATGCCCTGAAATTCTGGAACACCCTTCCTCTAACCCTTCCTTCCCCATCTTCAGGTCGCCCAGGCCTGCGAAAGTGTAATCTGTACAGATCTGTCCCAAAACTGATCCCAATGTCCTAACAATCTGAATCCTTGTCTCCTATACCATTGTCCAGCCACAGTATTTACTTGCCGTACCTTACCATTACTATAGTGGCAGTAATCTTGAGATTACATCCTTTGTAATGAGATTCATCTCATTCAAATTACAGTGGAATCTGCTTTTGCCGGACGCCGGATAACCATGGACGTCAGGTAAATCAAACAAAATGCCCGGCCCCAAATCATCTATATTCTTACCCATTTTACATATATCTGCTAATTCAGACGAAATTCCAGTTAATTCGGGGTAAATGCCGCGCTGGTCGTCACTGAACTTACTCTCTCATGTCTTGTGTGTGTCGAGTTACTCCGGGATGGAGATGGGAGGAGTCAAATTGCAATTGGCAACGGACTCCAGCCATTCGCAAGCTGCTGGAGTCAAGCTGTCAATCAGCTGTCAATCAGTGAGGGGGCGGGGGGAGGGGGGGTGAGAGGAACGGGGAGGAACAAGGACGGGAAATCGTGATTGATTGACAGCTGAGCCGCTTGTGTTTGGCTGGAGCCCAAACATTCACAAGCGGCTTCGGCTGTCAATCACATCAGCCATCGCTAATTGGTCCCCTTCCCGCCCAATGGGAACGGCAATGGGAGAGAGGAAGCCCCGCCCCCACTCCTCTGCTGGGTGAGAAAGTAGTGAAATAGTTTGTAGGCAAACAAAGATAAATAGATTTTACTGAATTCTGTGAGAGTATTTTAACATTGCTTCAAGTGAAACAACATTATTATATATCGTTACATGGCACAGCCTCAGCTCCTCTGCTGGGCGGGAATGGTATTTCTATTAACCTCGGACACCTCCTAAGTCGGACAAAGTGTTCAGCCCCAATGTGTCCGCCTTAACCGGCTTCCAATGTATGTGAAGATGTTTTGACTTGATGAAATGTTCCAAAAATGCAACTTCAAATTTTTAGTTTTAGAGAATACTGAAATGCAGATTTAAATAGTTTTAGAATTTGGTTGGATTGCCTACAAACACGGTGTTAATGGACCTTTAATATCCAAGTAACTTATCAAACATCTCTTTGACGATAATGAAAGTATTGAATAGTAACTACCGTCCGATTGGTGCAAACGGGAGTAAAGGCATTGGTTCCACAGGTGAAGATCATGTTCCCAATGACAAGAAGGACCCGGATGTAATTCTGACACTCCTCCTGCAAAGGCACAAAAGTCAAGTTCAACAAAGAAAGATACAAAAAACAAAAACATAGGTTATAGTTTGCATTACATTCTTCCAATACATCTGTATGAGCATAGCCAAAATTTCCATATACATTCATTGCGTATAATAAATTGAAAAGAACTATTACTCAATTGGCTAGCTCCTTTGGGGCCTATTTTCATCTGGTAGGCAAGTTTACAGCTTCATTAGTGAGGCTAGTACCTGGCATGCAGCCTGCATCATTCACACAATGTGCCACGAGTTGTAGGTGTTTTATGTAAATTGAGTGGCTCAACAGTAATCACAGGCACTTCTGATTTCCTGCTGCTAATTCTGTAATTGTATTGAGACCAACTTGAAGCTGCCCTCAACACTAACTGAAGCATTTTAAAATGTTTTAAAAAAAAACAGAAACAGATGGAGGTTTGACTTCAGTCAGTCAGGACTCAGCTCGTCCTTGCCCTGAAACCTGGGCCGGATGTTTGAGCTCACCTTGATTTGGGGAACAATAGGATCAAAACTGCTGTGGTCCTAAACACTTCAAGAGTCATCTTTGAAATCTCTCACTCCTATAGAGAAAGAGAGGGGGAGTGGGACTAATTGGATAGCTCTTTACAAAGAGCCAGCTCAGGCTGTATGGGTCAAATGGCCTCCTTCTGTGTAGGATTCTATGATTCTAACTCCCTCCGATAAGTAAATTGGGTCTAAAATGTAATGATTTGAAACAAGATTTTTAAATAAGCATTCCAAATTATGAGTGGGGATTCATTCCAGTAACTGGAGCTTTGTTCCAATATTTTTGGGGCAGCATTGCATGGAGCTGATGATGAATTTCCAGTTATCAGAAAGATTCCCCATTTGTGACTTGAATCTTAGTCCCAGCAAATGACTTTTATTTAATGTAGTCACCACTCAGTCAATGGTCTTTCACAACCCAGACAAAATTGCTGAAGCTGAGCCCTACTTACTTTCTGCCTGTAGTGTGAAACATTAAACACACTGTACTGGTAACTAGCCCCTTACTGTCTAAAAACTCCTAAGAGCATATCTCTTTGAAAGTGCCTCTGATCAAAGTTTATATATCACTTCATTTCCCTTCTTGATGTGCACCACTGCATTTGGTGAGTGCTTGGAGGCATGAAAAGGTATTATATAAATACAAGTTGTTATATTCACATACACCATTCACCACGTCAATGACAACAATAAAAATTTCAGGTATAAAGTCTCATTCATGTAGGACAACGTCTTGAGGTTATTTATGAAAGAATGGGAGTTTCGGGGTGGTGAACTATTTTGGGAGGTCAGCCAGGTGTCTGATACATGTGGAAACCCATCACCATGCTTAGGAGTGTCCAAACCAAACTGAAAATTAAATGCAACCCACCTACACAAGGAAATCGCAGAGATAGGTTGTTGGAATGGAATGCGCACTCTCTCCCTGGAGAGACACATCCTGCTTACATAATTCCGGAAAGTATTAAGACACAGGTTGCAAGCGCCAAAGCTTGGGGACCCCAGAATGGCATTGGGGTACACTGGAGTCTGTCCAGCTAAAACTGCATAATTTGCCATTGATATAGAGAACAGTCAAAGAGATACAATATAATATAATATAATATAATATAATATAAGAGGGATTTTAAGGCTGGGAAAAAAGTTGGTAGGCTAAATGATTTGGGGAGAAAGTTCTAAAGACCAGGTGTATATTGGTTGAAGACTCAGCCACTGGCTGTGGGACCTACATTATGAAGTTAAGTTTTATTCAATGAGCTAGGCACATTTTAGTATATTTTAATTTGTAGAATAATTGTACTTAGTAGAAAATCTAAAATATTTTGTCAATAAATGATTATTACTGAATGGTAATTCATTCAGAGATAACTGAATGGCCACGCTCTTAATTATAAGACTTCACCCAGTTTAGATTATTAATGATTTTCACAACTATATTACAGACATATTCAGTGATGGTGTTTATTCTGAAATTCAAGGCAACTTTAAAACTCAAATACTTGATATTCCTGGTATTACATTAGAGCATGGGATCTTTCTAATCCCACTCAATACCAGGCATACCAAGACAAGGTTTGCATTAGAAATCCAATGGTTCGCATGTTAAAGCAGCTTGTTTACATCTTTGCTAAAAAGATGCCAAGCCCTCGAGAGCTCCCACTCACCCCGTGGTACAGCACCCTGCTTTATTCTCCCCAGAACAATCACCACCTACCTCGGTTTTGCCTTTGCTGAAACAACCTCTTTTAGTTGCCTTGTCTGAGTGCCATTCCACCCCCTGCCAAACAAAAACCATACAGTTACACTTAATATTACACCAAGCACCGCAGTTCGTGAGCAACTGAAACCTGACCGAGATGAACAGTTCATAGTTGATACAAAACTGCACTGTCTGTGTGAAAAATAACTGCACTTCTTAGGCTCCTGCATGGATGCACGCACACAAAAAGGCTGGAAATTAATTGTTTCACTGTTGCACAGAGACAGGCTTCATTTATTAACATCAATAAGCACACATTTTTAAACAGATGTTCTTCAGTCCCTAAACAGATGGTGCGGCTAAATATTGTAAAAAAAAGGCAAATGGGTAGAGTTGAAATGTTTCCAATGGAACTACATAATGGCCTGCAAAATACTATATATATTTCAATAATCATTTGCTTAGGACTTTAGGCTGGTAATAACTACACATTAAAGATTATTGACTTTGGCTTTATTTCACTTATCTTAAGCTTTCTTAACATTGTGTCTGTTTGCAGCGCAACAATATAGATTTTATAGTGAATTTCTGATTGCTGGAGAAGGGAGGAAATTGGACAATAATCATCCTATTCAGCTGAAGCAGCATCAACCACAAGTTTAATAACTTCAGAGCATGTCACTAGGCTCAGTTGGTAGCACTCCCACCTTTGAACCAGAAGATTGTGGGTTCAAGCCACATGCTGGGATTTGAGCTGTAGTCAAAGCTGATACTCCAGTGCAGTGCTTAGGAAACAAACCCGGCATTTTTGGAGGAGTCATCTTTCGGGTAAGAAGTTATGTGTTCCGATTGTTATATGTTCCATCTATCTATTCATATGAACATTGAAGGTACTATGACACTATTGAAAAGAGTACTTCTCCTGCTGTCCTGGCCAATAATCATCCACATTAAATGGTTATTCATCTCAAGACCCCTTTGGGAATTTGTGCTCATAGCATAGGCTGACATTCCAATGCAGAAGTGGGAGAGTCCTGCATTGTCAGAGGTGCCAACCTTCAAATGAAATGTTAAATTGATGTCCCATTAACCTGTTCACATTGCACAAGATCCACAGGTTTTAGAAACAATTCAGATACAATGACAAAAAAAATCCATTCCTAATTCTGCTCAAAAGGAATTTTAAAAAAGCACAGAAATGAACATTTCTGATCTGATAAAGCAAGTTTTACAGAGTAGAAGAGGGGATAAAAGACCCTATGCACATGCTGAATTTATTGAGACAATTACAAATGGCACTTTAACTGTGAAGCTTTTTTTAATGAAACTCTGTAAACTCATCAGATTTCCAATCGCAATCTGATGAGGCAGATTAACTGTAGTTACTGTACACCGGATGTTGTACACTAGAGCCAAGCTCTGCAGAGTGCGGCCTGAGTCACAGCAAGAGACGTACACAACTGAGATGCCAGCATCCCAGCCCCGACATGTAATGGCTACCCTATGGGCCCAGCAGCTGTTTGAATTACTGAATACTTTGAACACGAGAGGCACACGGGAAATGGCTTTAATGACACTCTGACAGTTTGCTTCAAAATATGCCACTCTAAAAAAAAGAGCTACGTTTGCTCCATCGCAGCTGATGGCATCAGTTCAAGGAGCTCAGCCTGTTAGGGTGCACGTAGCTTCCTGTCGTATGGAGACCAACGTGTTACTTTTGTTAACAACAAACTGCAAATTGAATGTGTAGATGTGCAGAACTTCCCATTTCCGTTATTTCATGTCTTATCAGTATTTGAGGTTATTGGCAGGATTAAAATAACCATCTTTTGTGGAAGCCAACTAACGTTCCATCTGTGACGCACTGGTAACTTGTGTTTAATGGCTTGCCTTTCCAAACCTGGTGCCCTCAGTCTAGTTGATATGGTTTGAGTTTCAGCTCAGCCCCATTTCAACACAACAACAAGATTACATTTGTATAGCGCCTTTTACGTCGGGAGGACGTCCCAAGGCACTGGGATCAGACCAGTAATGATGGCACAGACCAACCTAATTACTAGCAAGGGAAAAGCCAGACAGATCTATAAAGTTGAACATGGCAGTACATTCATTGCACACAGTGTGTCTTATTTATGACAGTAATTATGAGTTATTTCTTTAAGCAATTGCTTCTTAAATAGCTGCTTACAATTTGGACTTTGTCACTTTTTAGATGTTGCTCTGACGTTACTGAACCACAAATGATAAAAGCTTGGTCGAAAACCATTCCACACTACCCCACTGACACAAACATACAATCGATCACACACACACATACACACTCACAAAAACAAAACAAACACAGAAACACACCCACAATCAGAATTCATATGGAACCATGAACCATCAATTAATTTTATTTTAAAAAGGACAATAGATAAATGCTTGAGGAGGAAGAATATTAAAGGAATAGGAGGGCATGAGGAGCAAGCAGGAGAGTCAATTTGAAGGTGGCTAAAGGTGAAAAGCACTAATGGAGATTTAACGGTCTGAATGTGACGTTCCACGAGTCTAGTACCAAACATCCTGTCAGACTTTTTTTTCAGCTTATTCTTCTTGCCTGATGTGACTAATTCTGTGCTTTGTGGGATAGTTCTCACTGGCAGGTTTGTGTGGTTTGTAACAGGTCCTCTTTGACCTGCACAACACATAGATTTTCTGTACAAAGACGCGTCACCCATTACGTCCCAAACAAGATTAAAAATAATATCCAAAATTCTAGCCTCAGTAACTCCAACAGATGGCAGCAACAATGTTTCAATGCTTACCTTTTGTTCCTCTTATTAAGTCTACATATTAAAATAAATTGGGCTCACAATTAAACTGCTGAAGTAGCAGACCTATATAGTTCAGACCTCACAAGTACTAGGATATAAACCAGACCCACCCCTGAGGATTGAGTTAAACCTCACACTTCACATAAATCTCTTGCCACCAAAGACTGAATTGGATAAATGCATCCTTAAAGGGGAAGGTACGTCATGGTGGAGTACTTTCTGTTCAAAGTATACTCCTACCCCCAGCTATAGAATGAAAATACCGCTGTAGAATTATATTATACCCGTTGTGAGGAATCTTACTTTACTTTATTGCCTTCTACTCTTCCCCTCAGCTGCTAAACAGCTCCAGCTACGCGTGTAATGGGAGGAGCTGCAAACATCTCAGACTAGTTCTGTCTAGTAGAAAGGAGGCAAGAACTTCAGTCCAGCCTCAGGGCCAATCTGGAGTTATTCACAAGCTGGAATGGGAGGACCCAAGGCGCTGGTTAGACCCGAGCCGTGGTCCTCCCGATGTGAAAGACGCTATATAATTCTAATTTTGTTGTTGTTGGTGTTGCATTTGATATAGCGCCTTATCACATTGTTGCGACATCTCAAAGCGCTTCACAAAGTGTAAAGTGAATTGACTGTATATTTTGTGGGGGATCCGCTGATGAAATGGACTGCAAAAGATGCAGGAAGACATAGATAGCCTTGCAAAATGAATGGAGAGGTGGCAGATGTAGTTTAATATAGGGAAATGTGAAGTGATCCACTTTGTAGGAGGAATAAAGAAGTCAACTATACCCTGATGGTAAGAACGTAAGAGGAATAGAAGTTCAAAGGGAACTAGGGATTCAGATTCAATAGACTTTAAAGTAGCAGCACAGGTCAGAAAAAGCCATGAAAATGCAAATAAGTTCCTTGGTTTTAGGTCCAGGGGAAAAAAATAGGGTAATAATGTTAAATTTATATAAAATCTTGGTAAGACCACATCTGGAGTACTGTGTACAGTTTTGGTCCCCTTTTACATCAAGGATATTGAGGCATTGGAGAGAGTACTGTGTAGATTTACAAAGATGTTATCAGGAAAGAGTAGATACAGCTATTAAGAAAGATTGGAGCATTAGAGCTTTCTTTCTTGAAGCTACGTTGTCAGAGGAGACCGGATAAAGATGTTTAAAATGATGAAAAGATTAAATTTACTGGACATAAATAGTCTGTCTCCACTTGTTGGTGAGTTCAAAGAAGGGAACACAAACATAAGATAGCCACAAGCAGATCTAAACCGAAGTTTTACATTTATTTACGCAGAAGGTAGTTAGAATGTGGAATTCACTGCCAGAAGCTTTGGGTAAAGCCGAAAACATCAATATAGTGAAGAGGAAACTGAGCGATAAATGAGGGAGAAGGAAATAAGAGGGGTGAGGGGCAAGAAATTATTAGGCAGAGTGAAGGTTTATGTGAAATATAAACACTGGCACAGACTAGTTGGGCCAAATGGTCTTTTTCCATGCTATGTAATCTGTGTAATTCTATGTAGAAAAAGGCCAATGAGAGTGATATGTGATATTTAGGGACATTCCCAGTCTCTGCTACTCTTGTGTTGATATGGTATTAAGCAGGAAATATCTAGTCCAAAGGACTTACACATTGACAACATACATGATGTCACCACATCACGTAGGAACAGTCCATTGAGTCTGTTCTGTCCGTTTATTAGATCATGGTAGAGCTTTTAATCCCATTTCCTTGCCTTTTCTCCATACCCCTTATCAACCATCCCAAATCTATCTGCCAACAGTAAACTCCTGATTACTTATCACTCCAAGGGAAAAGGGCTCAGTGATGAGTTATCCAGAGGGGCGAGTTAAACATATGTATATATACATATATAAACATAGATATTGACAGCATGATGACTGAAGTGGTAATGACAAGTTAAGCCAGGGTCAACTTATCAGGAGTTTACTGTAAGTCCCTTTTTTCTTATTCCAATTGATTTTGTCTTGATAACGCTCTGGGTTAGTGATTCCACATGTTTTACAAGCCTTGTTTGAAGAAATCTCCTTCGCATCATCTACATTGTATAACACGAAAGAAACACAAGCATTTTGCTCCTAACTTTCCCTTCTGTAGTGAACAGGGTGAAGTCCCGTTCAGCTCATGTTTTTACTTGAAAAGTGCATTCAAGTATCCTCCTACCAATGACAATGTATCAATTGATGTACAGTGAACAGTGTTCTTTATGGCTTTACAATTCAGCCCATACAGGTCCACACACTCAAATTACTGTATTGTGTGTGGGTTAGAATCTCTGCCATGTAACAGTTAGCTGAATAAACAGTATTATCATTAACCGCAACAAAGAGCCACTGAACCATTTCAACACTGACTCAGCGCTACTGTTTTAAGTGAAAACTAGGTTTTAATGTAATAAAAACAACAAAGGAAAGTACAGAGCACAAAGTACAAGGCATTCTTGGGGTTGACGGTGACATATTAAAGGGTTTTAATGCTGTAATAATGTCCGACAGCAACCACATGTGTGTTGTTTTCAGAAAGTAATTGTGTCAACAGTACAATGCTATAGAAAGCTATTTCCAAAAAAGGAAATTCAAGCACTTCGTCTCTCTATAGTGACCAAAAATGGATCCAATAAAACAGTCGCTCTCGCTGTGCCTTGAAATCAGGTTTAAAGCCTTTCGTTGTGTACGGTCATAAATTACTGCTAATGTCTTTGGTGTGGTAAGTCAGCCCATCCCACTGAAAGATCAGAAGCACTGAAAGCAGATGCTTGGCTTTCTTTGAAATGCTGCACATTGACCTGATTACCTGCTACAAACACTGTGCTTCACATCAAAGAATCATAGCTGCTAAAGTAAAAACAAACAGCTTTCACACACCTGGATCAATGACAAGTCCTCCAGCCTTAGCCTGAAGAGGTGGTTTCTGCAAGAAATAGTTTTGTGTTACCAAGAGATCCATCTGATAGTGAGGGAGGAAGGGTAGTGTATAGCAGGTACATTTGTTACAATGCGGAACTGAGATCCCAAATTCCTTCAGATCACAATCTTAAAATCTAAGATCCTGCTGAATTTTGAAAAATTCTTCCAATTCTGTCTTGACGTTTACAAGTCTCTCATAAACTGCGGAAAAACAGCTTAAAATTAACAAACTATGATGTGCATGGAAGTCAAAATAATCTAGCAATGCTGACGTCACCAGATAAAGTGACATAATACAATACACATTTATATTTATACAGCGCCTTTCATGTCGGGAGGACGTCTCAACATGCTTCACAATGCTGCCTAGACATCAGAGTGGAGGGGCAGAAGCCGAAAGAGGGTGGGGAGGGGAAAGATGACTGAAAATGCAGTCAAAGTTATCCGTTAATGAAAGTGAATCCACATACATGCAATGAAACCAGAGACTGTGGGAGGAACACTGTAGGTCGATTTGTGTCTGAGAAAAACTGATGGGTTAATATTTTTGCGTGTGATCCCTCACCAGAACTCTATGTGGAGACAATGCAATGGGGGATCGGACTCGAGAAGGGAACAGGATAATTCGACACTAGGACATTCAGCCGCTTTTCATTACAGACTACATGGAAAAGTGGGAATGTAAAATCTGTATTAAGCTGTTGTGACGTGGCATTTAGTCTGCGTTTTAAAAGAAACATGAATATAAAAGTGTGCCACGCCCACTTGCTGGTTGGATACTAAACATTCTTCACAAGTTTGGGCAACTCTGCTATTCGACACCCACCTTGGCATCACTGCCACACCATGGTTTATCAAGTAATTCGCTCCTCAATCATTCGAAGGGGAACCAGACAGCATGAAATGTAAGCAGCAGCCACAGGTGGCTTGTGAGCCTTTCACTGCACTGCTCCTGCTGCATAAATCCTTCAATGCAATAGTCCCAGAAGAAGCATTTAAGTGCTCCAAGACGCTGTACCGTGTGAAGCACATTACATAAATGCAAATTGTTGTTGTTTTACTATAACTAGTCAAATGAACAGAGACAATATAGAGAGTGTAGGGCTTGTAGTTGGTACCTTTCCTCTCTCATCCCAAGGCTCAATGTTATTACTAGAAAATGACAGTTAAGTACGAATAGATTCTTCTAAAAAAAATCAATAGCAAACCTCTGACAGCACAAAAATATCTTTTACAGCATCTTAATATTAATCAAGACTGAACCAGACTACAAGAGCACTTACACAAACAAGTCACGGCTGATTATTTGCTATTGAAAGGAACAGACACTCAGGATGTGAAATGTTCAGAATCAGAACTCCTCTCTACAATAATGTCAAAAGCAGCGAATTGTTAAATGTGAAACGGGATTTCTTACCTTGCTCCAACGATGAGCTCTTTTTGGCCGGGGTCAAAAGTCATTTGAGAATAGTCGAATACATCAGTAGCTTTAAATTTGTGCAGCCAAGGTGCAATATCTGAGAAGAAAGTAGAAACATCCATAACCCAGCTGCCAAAAAAATTACTGAGGTGGCTGTCAATAGACGAGTGTCAATACCTGTAATTGAAATGCAGTGAACTAGATTAATTAAACCTGACACGAAAGCCCTTGAAATCGAGACTTGTCATTAAATGTGGTAGATCTATGCCCTGGGTTTAGAGCAATCTGTCATTGAAGTGTTTGTCCTGACAAAATTATGTCAACATTGTCACCCCGGAGCCAGCCTTGTGAAGCCCCTAGGGACTGAATCAAAGGTCCCCAAGAAAGATAAAAGAAAATCTCCAGCTGCACTGGAGTTTCTCTGAAATTCAGTTGGCAAGATTGAAGTATTCTTCAAAAAAAATTCAAAGCTCTTATCAGTTTCACTAATTCAAAATCAACCTGCAGAACTCTGTACTTTTGGGGGGCTTTTTGACAGACTTGTCAGAAAGTCAGTGGCTGGTTACGTATCACTTTTTGTTTAAACATCCAGGAAGATCTGTTTGGAAAGAGGCACTGCAAGCTTTGCACATCATATAAATGTTGTCTTTCCAAATAATTCTGATAAATAAATATTCTGTTGAAGAGTTGAAACTTAATGAGAGGAGTTCAAAATGATGCCGTTCCTGCAACATGTTGCTTTAAAGACACAACTCTCCACTACACGTCAACCACTGGAGCCAAATCACCTCTCGCGTCCCAACCCCCTCTCCATTCCTCCAAGACAGATCTTTGCAATTAAGCTGAGGCCTCCATCATGTTTGCCTGCTGGATTCAGTTTCACTGTTCGTTCTTGTTCTTGCTTGAAGAAGACCTCCATCTCATTCCAATGACCCGTCACATTTTATTTTAGGAGCTGACAGACGATATTTTAGTGCTTGTTTCTTACATAGCTCTCCAGGAGTCTTTTGAGATTTTACTTAAACTGTCAATTTTCCCTACATTCCCTCAGAAGACAAACTCACTCATTTGATTCTTTCTGGAGTCCAGGAAAGACGAGAGATAATTTCATTAGTATTAATGGGAATCACAGTCTTTATTCCATGTGCTTGGATTAAGACTTGGTGCCAGCAGCTGGTATAAAATGAACAGGAGGAACTGCACAACAGAAAGTCAGAGTTCAGAATGAGATTATTTTTGCCACGTTTCACTTTCTGAAAATCTCAGAAGCGCAGAGTTGGTAATTCAACAAAGGAAAAAAAACAAGAGAAAAGAACCTGAACTCTGCTTCAATCAATCTTTCGACCCCAGGGATCCTATTGGCAACACCAAACTGACTAGTGAAGAAAACAGACGCCAGGCCTGACTCTGCACTCTCAGCACACATCTCTGACAGAGACTGTAAAAAGTCACCGAGCGAACATGATAGACAAGTCAGGTCATTCTCTACTCTGTGGGGCACAAATGCATCAAAGTCATAACCAGAGAATACAAGAATTTAAAATTCTCCAGATGAATCTAAGAATGTCAAGACATCAAATGGTAAAGAAGGGCACAGTGGATACATATATACACATACACAAAAGAAACATGCCATTCATTGCGTCACAGTTGCTATTTATCTTTAATGTGAGAGAAGAGCAATCAGTGGATCCTTTCTTCCTTGTTCATCTTAGCCCAAATAAATGCTGTTCTATAACACATGACACAAAGTGACAGCAATAAACATCCAGTCAATTTTCTTCAGGGCACTGTGCAAACAACCCAAGGAGGAATTCCTTTTGCAGTTAGGTAAATGTTCAGGTTTTGTAAAATTTGAACAGGTTTCATTTTCATCAATATATGGTGTATTTTACTGCACTTTGCAGTCAATATTAAATTGCTCCCCTACATTAAGCCATGAACCCATAGAGACTTTTTTGCAAAACATATTCCTGAGTCAATATCAGACAAAGGCCAGTACGATTCCATATTCCACAGAGAATAAGCTGAAGGATATCACTTTTAGACTGTTTGCAAAGTGTTGTGAAGCAATCCTAAAAGATATTTTTCGCTATCATCACCTATCTATCATTTATGCTACACATAACACCACTTACTTGGACCATTGGGGAGAGACCTGGAAGGGAAGACAGGAGGAAAGTATTTGAGACATTTTTGTACAAATCTTAGCAACATCACTGTGCCACCAACTATCTTTGGAAACATGAAGATGTCTTAATTTGCTTTCTATTTAAATGCTGGCATTATCAGATAAAGCATCCAACAAAACTTTTATGACTTGGAAATTAGGATAACGCTTTGATTTATTGTCTCAGTTACCTCAATAGAGATAGAAGGTAATTATGTGCTTTATTTAATGAACCTGAGTTAGAAAGGTACGTGTATCAAGATATTAAAATTCAATGGTAGGCCTACATTCTCAAATCAATGAATACTTACTTGGAATTATATAGTGATACAACAACAACAACAAAATTACATTTATAGAGTGCCTTTTACGTCGGGAGGATGTCCCAAAGCGTTGAACAGTCAGGGGTTGGGACCCGATCATGGGGGAGGAATGGGGTAGGGGTGAGGGAAGGCAGAGAGGTGGGAGGGAGACCAAAGGCACGATAGAAGAGGAGGGTCTTAAGACCGGCCTTGAAGGAGGCAAGGGAGGAAGCAAGGTGAAGGGACCGCGGGATGGAGTTCCAGAGTGTGGGGCAGAGAGGCTGAAAATCCGGCCACCAATGGTAGGGCGGGTCGAGCAGAAGACATGGAGCAGCCCAGAGCCTGCTGAACAGATACATGCAAACAGGACATTCAGACCAACTAGTCAGCGTTGATACTTATATTATACTTGAGCTCCCACCACTCTGTTCCCTTCTCCCTCATGTGTTCATCAAGTTCCCTTTTAGATAGGTTGATACTTTTTGCTTCACGATAGCTTCTCATAGTCAGCTTGTTTGATGAATGTTTATTTTCTTTTCCTTCTTTCTCCTTCTTCTTGGCACACCATTCATTGATAATCGCATGTGCTTCAGCTAATGATTGTCACATCTAAGCATGAAGCAAGCAGAGTTTTGAAATCCAAGTAAAAGCATAGGGAAAGCAACTGGGATGGGGTGGGGGGAATAGGCGGTTAGAAAATATGACTTACAAAATGCTGGTGGAAATAAAAGGGAACAAAGTAAAAATACCTTGAAAAGATTTTACTATATACCTCCTTAATTACAAAGTACAAAAAATAGGTTGCGCAGACACCTTTCAGCTCTCTCTCCTCCACCACCGCCACCCACCCCCGCCCACCTTTATCAAAAGGAACCCCAGTATCTAATCAGGGGAAGACATTTATAAAATTGTGATTGGTGCCATTAATGGGAAGGTGCAAAGAGGTATCCAGGTTTGAGGTGGGGAGAAGAGTCTTCTCTAGGTGGCACCTGCCAATTTCTTCAGGGGTCAATGCTATGATCCGGGAGCACAGTATGAACAGGTCCTTTCAGCAGCAGAGGTGTCGAGCCAGGGGGATGAAGCCCAGGATAAAACGCCGGAAGCGATACAAAGAGGAGCAGAAACTCACCCCAGAATGCTCCCGTAAACAGTGAAATGAAATATTTTTCAGCAAGTGTATTGAAGTGCAAGATAACAATCACAGGCAGACGGGTGTGTGAAAGTACCAATGAACACTCCTCGCATTCTGGTTCTCACGTTACTCTGGAAAACAGTCGTGAGGCTCCAACTGATTCCAACTAATTCCCTTTCATTGTGAGGTTGTGATCTTATAATCGACACTGGTGATAATTGTCATAGCTCAGAATTGCTGCACGGGTCAGCTTATAATTTATCAACTGGCCACCAAGGTGTCTCATCCTCCCCTCACTCCTGAATTTGACACAATGGATTGCTCCAAAGCCGTGGCTCTCCATATTGACATTGACAAGCTGTGGAGCTCAGACCTGAGTGTCAGTTTCCAGGGTAACGGCTTAACACAGCTTCTATGGAGCCTGCTTTGGGTAGAATAATTGTGATGATCTTGGAGGGAAGGAGAGGTGGGAGTCATTACAAACAGACCAATTGATAACTGGTCACAACCGAATAATAATAATAATAATAATAATAATAATAATAATAATAATAATAATAAATAAGCCTTGCATTTGATTATAGTGCCTTTCATGTTGACAGAATGTCTCAAAGTGCTTCACAGGATTTTTTGTGAAGTGTAGTGACTGCATTTTGTAGGAGTACTATTTTCAATTTAGGGACAATTAACACATCACAGCTCACAATTTCCACCCCTTCAGGGATTCACATTAAGTTGCACCACCAGTTCACATCTGTTATCACCTTCATCTTCCACCTAACAACTTTTTAAAAGCACTTTTTCTCTCCACTTTAGGGAGAAAAAACAATATAAATTGCTCAGTATCCTCCTGCATACCCGACTCTGCCAAATACAATCCCTCAGCAGATCTCCACTGAAAGCCGAGAGACCCACGAGTAAACAAAAATGCACTCAATCATTGACACTGAACAAGCTCCCAGCCTCTTTCCTGCACTCTGACATTTCACAGTCAACCAAATCATACCACATGTGCCATCTATCTAAATCAATAGTGAGCCACGGACATAGCTTAAATAATGGGAGGCAAAGGGGGAAATCGCTTGGAGGAGAAAAACAAATTGAGTTCTGCGATAGTCAGCTATAGACGGTGGCTTGATGGTGACCGAAGCACTCTGCCACTCTTTCACTGTCACTCACATCTCTCACTCCGATTCCATTACATCTCTCTGTAGGGAGGCAGCTGGTATTCAGTAAATAAAAATCAACCCTGCATCAGACTGAAGGGAAGCATAACTGTCAAGACTTCCTATTTCCTTAGGCTGTACTGCAATTATTACAACCACAGTCACTTCACTTTGCAGTCAATCCTGTGATGTACTTTGAGATGTTTCAATAAGGCACTATATCAAATCCAAGAATCATTACTATATTCTTCCTTAATCGCCAGAAAAGTGTGTGGTTAATAACCTCTTTGAGACAGGAACACCCCACTGACTTCGGGAGAATGTTTTTTCCTTCAGGCTTCTCACTAGGAGTTTGGCGCCATGTTTTTCCACCACATCGGGGAGTTTGGGATAAGCTCAGTTCCCAGCAGGTGTTTTAGATTTCAGAATCCCAACTGTTAGAACGCCTTGTTACACACTAAATCTTTACTTTCAAAATTAGTTTTAGGCTAATATCTGGCAAAACAGCACAAAATCATCACTCTTCGGGGCCAAACTACAGACCTACCAATCCTGTGCAGATCAAAGTCTTTAAATTGAGCCCCAGAGAGTGTGGATTTCATGTTTTAATGGTCTCCATTCAGTCCCTCCACACAACAGCGCAGTTCAGACTGGCTAACTAGCCCTCACAGACACCAACAAGCCTTTGGCCCAATGAGATCTCTCATTGAAGCCGAAGTCTCCAACTCTGCGAGACATACATACAGAAAACGCTGTTTATGTTCGAGGTGCTGTTGTAGGCATTCTTACAGCGGTGACAGCCCATGAAGCACTCCCTCCCTTTCTGCTTTTGAAACTTACTTCTTTAACTCAATTCACAACTGCTTGTGGAACCCCTCTGTGTGCAATTGGCTGCCGCATTTCACCCACAAAATACACAGCTAATTAATTTTGCAGTATATCCTATGAAGCATTTTGAGACATTTTGAAGATGTGATAAGACGCTATATCAAATGCAAGGATTATTATCAGCAATATTATGTAACTGTGCCTCTGCCACTTCCCCCCTAATTTCGCATAGCCTCCCAGCTCATCTCTTTAAAGTCACTTGAGACATTCTCTTATGTATGGCACTTAGATGCCAATGTCCAATTCTGGACAAAGTGCTCCAATTTCCATCTTCAGCCTTCTTGACCTCTGAGTCAGCTCTCACTTTGGACTCGGATTTAATCTGCAGACGCACTGAGCAATTAATGTCAGCCATTTAGGGCTTTAGCACTTCATCAGTGAGTACCCAGGAGACTTGGTTGCCAGGAGAATCTGCTCTGAACCATCTTCATATTGGCTGTTTATTTACATCGCGACAGAACTAGAGAGCAGAGGTTTAAAAGTCAAAAATCTTCAAACAGAACTAGAGATTAGAAGAATTTGATTCCCTGTCTGTCAATTATCTCCTTAGGAAAATGAATGAATAAATATCTACTTAAGAACAATATTTGAGGAAATAGCTTTCCAATTAGGGGGATGATTGGGCCACGACTGGGTAAGACTTATGTAGTCTATGGGAGCCAAATCCCCTTTTCCCATTCATGCTTTCTTATGATGTTAACCCTGACCCCAAGTCACAATAATTAATACTTATAGAGCGAGCACCTTTTACATCAGGAGAACATCTCATAATGTTTTATGTTGACTGAGTGTGAGCTTGAGCTGGGAGGGGGGTGGATGAACACGCAATCATAAGGATAGATTTTTAGACTCTTTTGAACGGAGGAAGGGAGGGGGGGGTGAAGAAGAGAAACGCCCAAAATGGCTCAAAGCTCACCTTCAAATGATAGGGCGAAGCAAGTGAGGGCATGGAGCAAGGCAAGGTTAGCAGATGGGAGGGAGTGACAGGGGATTTGTGTTGCAGAAGGTCACAGAGATATGCTAGGCCATAGCTCTGGAGCATTTGAAAGTAAGGATGAGCATTTTAAGTTGATCCCTTGGGGGATAAGGAGTCAGTGGAACTAGATGAGAATGGGGTGTTGGCTCGTGGAGCCGAATGCATGAGTAAACAGGGACTATGGAGTTTTGGATGCTCTGGATCTTGTGGATTGTGCATCTGAGAAGTTCAGTGACAGGGCATTGGAAAAATCAAGTCTGGAATGACAAAAACAAGGATGAGGGTTTTGGCTGCATCGCGGTCAGGTAGTGTTGAGAGGCGAGGCAGATTTAGTCAGAGCTTGGATGAAGACATTAAACAAGAATTGAGAATTGAAGAAAAAGCCAAGGTTTGACACAAGTTCTGTGAGCTGGGAGTGACCAATCGACATAATGAGTATGTAAAGTGAGGAGGCGCTGGCGGGAGCTAAGCAGGATAGCCTCAGTATTGATCATGCAGAGTTGGAGAAAGTTAAGGCTCATTCAGGACTTGGCATCTGACAGGCAGTCTATCAAAAAGCAATATAATAATAATAATAATAATAATAATCCTTGCATTTGATTTAGCGCTTTTCACGTCAGGAGGACGTCCCAAAGCGCTTCACAGAACACACTGTAAAGTGAATTGACTGTATATTTGTGGGCGAACGCGGCAGCCAATTGCACACAGCAATGTCCCACAAACAGTCGTAGATTGAAAATGACCAATTTATTATTGTTTTTTGGAGGGATTATTATTAGGCTAGCGCCGAGGGTAGAAGAAGAAAGGTAAGAGTTGGATGTTGTGTACGTACATCCCTGCAGATGATGTTATCAAGGAGAGACATAGATGATAGCCCAGATTACACAGCATCAAAAAACAGCACACAAACTCTACACATGGGTACTGGCTTTGGGGAAAGCTCCATGCAAGTCAAGAATGCTGGGCTGTACTGAGCACTCAGTCTCATCAGTACCAGAAAACAACACTGGCCTCTAACATCAGAAGCAGGGCTGGGAAATTGGCAAAAACACTTCTTCAAGTGGATCTTGAAACATTTGCGGGTAGCAACCCTGCAGAAGTGCAACACGGTATAGTAAGTGCGGCAACATCAGCTCTCTCAAAGAGGCCACAAAATGGCTGGTGAAGGCAGTGTAAATCATCACTCCAGTGCATTAGGGATTGTTCTTCTGAGGTTGCAGCTGAGACACGTAATAGTTGGGATGGAGTGAAGAGAATTTTATTCTGCAGCTGGCTGTTCTATATTTGGCCTGGGAGTGCTTGATATTTGGCCTGCGAATGGTTGATGCTCACACTCCCAGGGATTGTTTGATGCTGACACCGGATCCCGAAATGGGAGAACACCAGCGTCCCTCAATGAGCACAGAAATTTTCAAATAGACATTTTTTGTGTTTTTTTTAGTGCAATAGGAAGTTTTCCATCTGCTGATACTCAGCAGTACATCACATTCGCACTTCATTAACTATACTTAATAGCAAATCATATGGTGTATGACAGTTATGTATGGGAATGATTTGTAGCACAAACATCAGTTCTGTAAAATTGCACCACTTAACCTCTCACTCATGTCTAGTGTCGCGAGTGTACAGAGAACAGTGTATGTCGCCTTCCTCACCTCTGTGAGTTACGACTGGATGCTCCACCTGCTGACACTGCAGGTCCTCTGGTGACACAGACAATCCTCTGCACCCAGTTCTTCCGACCAACACAAGGAGCCCCTGAACTCCCGCCAGAAATCCTTGAAACCAGCTGCTCTTTGCAGGAGCCATGGGATCCTCAGCAACAATTACTTCCCCGTTGGCCTTACACTTGTAATGTGTTCATCTGAGAAGATCTGTAAACAACACAAAGACAACAATGAAACATAAGCCACTCCACATTAGTCTTTTCCCAGCCCCATTTACACACTAGCATAACTCCATCAGGTTGGTAATGGGGCAGTGTGCCTTCATTGGCATCGCTAGACTCCATGCTGTCACATGAACTGGATAAGCATTAGAAGAGGAGCAATACAAAAGCGTATAGGGAAAGGAATTGGAATCAGTGGATGAATCAGCACCGGCTTAGGCTCTGTGAGCCGAACGGCAGGTTTACATCCTCTCCTCTGCCAGAACTGCCATTTTCAATGGGTTCTAATCTGCACTGATCAGAAGAAATGTGGGAAAAACTAACTGTAACTTGTATTTTGCCATCTTGTCTGCAAGATTTGCAAAAAGTCTAATTGAAAATGCAGAGTGGCTAATTGAAAAAAACAATTTCTGAAAATGTGTGTGGGGGGGGTGGGGCTGGGGTGGGGGAGTGGGGGTGTGTGTATGGGGGGGGATTGTGCAGGGGCGGCAAAAGGGTGGTAGAATAAGCAAACAAAATCACATCTGTATAGCTCTTTTCACATTTTGGACCCAAACTGGGGGTCAGGATTGTGGACGATGGAGGGCGGGGGGAAAGATGGTGACCAAAGGCACGGTCAAAGAGGAGGGTCTTAAGATGGGGTCTTCAAGGAGGCAAGGGAGGGGGCAAGACTGCGCAGTGGAGTTCCAGAGGGTGGGGCCAAAGTGGCTGAAGGTAGGGGACTTGAAGCAGGTCGGAGCCCACTGAACGTAGTGAGCGGGCAGGTTGGTAGGAGGTTAGGAGGTTACAAAGGTAGGGGGGAGCAAGACCATAGGGAGCTCTGAAAGTGAGGAACAGGATTGTGAACTGTATCCGCTGTGTGATGGGAAACCAGTGGAGTCGGGCGAGGATGGGGGTGATAGGGTCACGGAGCCTGGTACGGGAGAGGACACAGGCTGCAGAGTTCTGGATGATCTGCAGCCTGTGCAGGGAGGAGTTGGCACTATATCAAATGCAAGGATTATTATTATTATTATGATTAACTTCATGTCAGCAGCACGTCTCTTGGATATTTTACTATCATAAGCAAAGACATCTAGAGGTATTATCCTAATGTATCCTTCGCTACTTGTTCCTCAAAACAACCAGCTCATCCCAAATCTCTCAGTCACTCATTGTAACACCGGTGCAATGTTTAGGCATTTTCTCAGAAAAATATGCCAGGATGCTGATGTGTTTGAATTTCGATCTCTGACGGGTTAATGCAGTCTTGGAGACTCACTAATCGAAAGCCATGAAGTGGTAATCAGTTTCCAATTTTCTGCTGGAAACACAGACTATAGTGATAATCGAGAGGAAAATTGATTCTGAACTGCTCTCTTGGTAGTCACAAAACCAATGTATTCATCATTTTTCCAATACCAGAGAAAGTGATGGCATTTTTAAGCTGCAGTAAGACCCACTGCACAAGTATTATGCTTTTATGTTCTCCAAGAAATCACTCACAAAACCTATATGGGGGTTAAAATTCTGGTAGCTGGGCATGTGGAAGAGCAAGAGGGAAGTGTTTTTAATACTGGAGATGCAGCATAGCTATATTCTGTGTGTGTACTTCGCTGAATGTACAGTTACATCAGGTGGCCCATTGCAGAACCTAATTCCAGAAAGTATTAGGCACAGGTTAGCAGGAGCCAAGGCTTGCGGTCCCCAGAGTGTTTGTTGGGGTACTGCTGGAATCTAACCGTATAGTTTGCCATTGATAGACCTGTCTGGCAAGCTTTCCTGCTGCTTGTCCAGCTAGGACTTCTCCACCTGTTAGGGCTTTGGCTTGCAGCGTTAACAGGAACTGAGTGGGAAGAGTCCCTGTCCCTCCAAGGCATGACCGTACGTGAAGGACGCCGTATAAATGCAAGTTGTTGGCATTGCTAATTTGCTCCCCAAATTAACCGCTTTATTCTTTCAGCATTATAACATAAAATTTTATAATAGTTGCTTGTTTAGGTAGCCACAAACTTGGTTTAACATCTCATCTGAAGGACCACTGACATTAGTTACATGAAGCATACAACAGATAAAAAAAAATCTCCCAAGCATAAACTGTTTGAACCCACAGGAATGCTTAGAGAGACTTTAAACTTTCAGCCCATGCTTCCTTCTGTCCTTCACCACTTGACTGAATAATTCAGCCAACAAATGATGGTGTGGCAACATGTATTAATAAATTCATGCTTATTCATTCCTAGTCTGGGGAGTTTAATAATAATTCTGTCAGTCTCCCACAGAAACTAGAAGCTAATCGTGCAGTATACTTATGCAGTATATAATGAAAACCTGGACTTGAGATAATTTAATAATAAAGTATGGAAAATATCATTAAAATAAATATCAAGTTATCAGTTGCGGCCCAACAATACACCTGTGTCCTGTAGCTCAGTGGTTAGAGCACTCGCTTTGCAAGTGAGAGACCTGAGTTCAATACCAGACAGGGCGAAACCTTGGGCAAGTTTCCTTACTCCACACAGAGCCCAATAATAATCCCTCCAAAACCAAAAACAATAATAAATTGGTCATTTTCAATCTACGACTGTTCGTGGGACGTTGCTGTGCGCAATTGGCTGCCGCGTTCGCCCACAAATATACAGTCAATCCACTTTACCATATATTCTGTGAAGCGCTTTGGGACGTCCAGAAGACGTGAAAAGCGCTATATCAAATGCAAGGGTTATTATTATTATTATTTTGAAAAGTCAATCCATGACATACTGCACAATGCTAAATACACAGAGGTCTCTGAGGTGAGGCTAAGATATCAGAATCTTTGCCAGGGCACATATTTCACTGGTCATGTCATTGGTAACTTTTACCTAAGAGAAGAGTTTTGTGTTTTGAACGCAACAAGAGAAGGGAGTTTCTCCTATTGTCCAAGCCAACAATCCCCCACATAAAATTGATCATTAACTCCATCACTGTTTGTTGGACATTGCTGTGCCCAAACTGACTGCCGCATTCTCCAACAAAATACACTTCACGGGATACCCTGTGCAATGCTTTGAGATCTTGAAATATGATAATGTGCTACACCAAATGCAAAAATTATTATATATTATAAAACATGCACTAATAGTGTGTGACATTACTCTCTAATGTACTTTGTGATTTCCTCCCAACATGAAAGGCGCCATATAAATGTAAACTGTACTGTAGTGGTAGTCTTATACCTCTTTACCTAAGTAGGACAGTTTGCACTACGGTGTTCAGTGACTATTGGAATCCAGCCAGCATCACTCTCGTAAATCACCCAGTTATTATAAATACTGTGATACAGTGCAGCAGATGTTCTCCTCTAAGTTTTTATGGGTGTATAAAGATTGTGCAAAATGATGGGTGCAGATTACAAAACAAATTGTGAATTGTAAAGGGTAAACCGAATATGTTAAATAACACATGCAAACGAACAGCCACAAAATCCTTACATTTACTGCAGCATAGAGTGTTGCAAGAAATCAAATCTCCCCTATCGACATGTGTGCAGAGACACACACAGCCCTGTAGTGCCTGTCCGGGCATGATTTACCTGCAGACATCTTATCTCATTCAGCCCTCTTTTGAAACGTAAGGCATGAATCAAATGTTGACCACGTCTAACTTTAGCTCTCAATTGACTGAAAAAACAGCTTTTGGAATTGTTTTTCGCCGACTGGAGGCCAATTATTTAACTATGTCTCCCACCTTCCAAACGACAACATGAAGCTCAGAATAAATATAAGCAAAGTGTTTTATTAACACTGCTGATGACAGCACAACCAGCCTGGCTCATCGGCAGGACTTGGAAGGGCAGAGCAGTCACTGGGGGCAGGGATTCTTCCCATTCAGCTGTTGTTAACCCTTCAAGTCAAAGCCCTATCGGGTAGGTTGCTCCTAGCTGGGCTAGCAGCAGGAAAGCTTGCCAGACAGCGCTATCAATAGTAAGCCATACAGTTTTAGGTGGATAGACTCCAGCAGTACCCCAACACACACTTTGGTGTCCCCAAGACTTGGCTCTTACAAACCTGCATCTAATACTTTCCGGAATTATGTAAGCAGGATGTGTCCCTCCAGGGAGAGAGTGCACATTCCATTCCAACAATCTGTCTTTGGGATTTCCTTGTGTAGGTGGGATAAATTTAATTTTCAGTTTGGTTTGGATACTCTTAAGCATGGGCACTGTCTAACTAAAAAAAATCATTATTACTACCATTATTATTGATAATCATCATTGCATTCGATATAGCACCTTATCATGTCATCAAAATACTTCACAGGAATTACTGTAACATACAGTGATTATGTATATGTAAGTGAACACAGCAGCCAATCAGCACACATAGTGTCCCAAAAAATGCCATAAAGTGAATGGCCAATTTTATGTGGCGGATTGCTGGCCAGGACACCAGAAGAAACACCCTTCTCTTTTCGAATGGTGCCATTGGACCTTTAATGTTCACCTGAACAGACAGATAGGGCCCTGGTTAAAGGTCTCATGTAAAGGATGGCACCTCCAACAATGCAATACACCCCCCAGCACTGCATTGGAGCATCAACCTGGCTTTAATAACTGTCTTAACTTCCATGAAGCTTGGCCTCACTGCTCCATCCCGTACTTACAAAGTATGCAAGATTTTTCAACAGCTTAATTAGACGTTTGGTCCACAAGAAACAACATTTAGAAGGAAGGGGAGGATTGCTAAAGTAGCATATTGAAAAGGATTATTGTAGCTCACAGACTGTGGGAAGCGTCCATGCATAGAGATTTACAATATTGTCTGCATTGACTGCTTGAAAACTAAAAGTCACAGGCTTCCCCATGTTAATCGCTGTAGAAAAACATTTTGGACAATATTTATCCCAAACAGCAATTGAAAATGTACATACAGTATTTCTAAATATTTATACTCATCCTCAGTAATTTTTACACTGGGTTGGAAAGAAGTGGGAATATTCTGGGTGGGCAGCATCTCCTAGTCTAAG